AAGAGTTCACCTAAAGTCATTTTTGTCTAAGGCATGAGGAAGAGACCTAGTTCCTCATTCTTCCTGCCCCCCCATACAGTTTTCTAGTACAGCATTATAGAGTAAAAACATGTTTTCCACTGCTCTGCAATGCCACTTTTGTCATAAATCAGACATCCACATGAATGAATATTTTTGGACTCTGTTCCTTTGGTCTGTTTTTCTCTTCTTTTGCCAATACCACATGGTCTTAATTAACTGTAGCTTTGTATTGTTAAGAGTTACTATCTGATAGTGTAAATCTTCCACCTTTTGTTTTTCTTTATGAATGCCTTGTTTATTCTTGGCTCTTTGCATTTTCCTGTAGATTTTAGAATCACCTAGTATATATCCACTTTTTAAAATCCTATTAAGGCTATATTAAATCTGTAGATCAATTTGGGAGGAATTGACATCTTTACAAAATTGAGCTTTCCAGCCCATGAATATGGTATGTCTCTCCATTCCTTAGTGTTCTTTGGTTTCTCTCAGTGATTTACAGTTTTCTATATAGAGATCTGGCATGTCTTTCATTGCATTTATTCCTTGGTATATGATAGTTTTTGATGCTACTCTAAGGAGTATCCTTTCAAAGTACCATTTTCTGATTGTTTCTTACTAGTATAGTGTTCATTTTTGTATATTGGCCATGTATCCAGAGACGTGGTTATTCATTCCACTTACTCCTTATAGTGGTATTTCTATGTACAGTCACGTATACAAATATAATTTTGTCCTGTTATCTTCCAGTATTTTTATTGTTTTTTTTTTTAAGTAGGCTCCACACCCAGCATGGGGCTTGTACTCAAGACCCCAAGATCAAGACCTGAGCTGAGATCAAGAGTCAGACATTCAACCGACTGAGCCACCCAGGTGCCCCTGTTGTTTTATCTTTTGATAATCCATCTGGAGTTGATGTTTATGTGTGGTATAAGGAATGAATCAAGGCTCATTTTCTTCCCATATAGATACCCACTTGGCCCAGCAGTGTTTATTGGAAGACCATTCTTCCCACCGCGTTGTAGTAGCACCTTTGTTTTTATATGGATGACCAAATGTATATGGGTCTGTTTCTGAGCCCTCTATTCTATTTCTCTGTCTGTCTTTGCATCAATATACAATCTTACCATCTGCAAATAATGCCAGTTTAATTTCTTCAGCTTGATATTTTATTTCTCTTTATTGCCCTATTCCACTTGATAACAACCTCCAGTACAGTGTAGACAAGAAATGGTGAAAACTCAATTTCAGGGAGAAAGCTTTTCATTGTTTTACTGTTAGATGTGAGGTTTGCTGTAGTATTTTTGAAATGTCTTTAACTTGATGAAGGAAGTCTTTTCTAATAACTAATAGGCTGAGAGATTTTAATCATGAATAGGTGTTAAATTTTAATGCTTTTTTTCTCCCCCAGCCTACTGCAATGATTATATAGTTTTTTCTTTATTCCAGTTATGTAACTTACTTTGCTTTGGTTATGATTTTTGCCTCTGTGTTCATGATAGATATCGGTCTTTCTTGTGCTGTTCTTAGGAGCTTTTAGTATCAAAATTATACAGGCCTCATAAAATGATTCAGAAATAATGTTTGTTCTTTTGCTGTTCTGAGTTTTTGCAATATTAGTTACATTTCTTCCTCAGATACTTAGAAGACTTTACTGGGAAAGGTTTCAGAGCTTTTACAGTATTCTTTGTGGGAAAGTTATTAATTACTGATTCAGTTTCCTTATTTGGTACAGCTCTGTTCAGATTTAAAATTTTCTTTGTTCAGGGGCACCTGGCTGGCTCAGTCCACAAAACATGTGACTCTTGATCTCAGGGTGGTGAGTTTGATCTCAGGGTGGTGAGTTTGAGCCCCACAGTGGGTATAGAGATTACTTAAGTAAATAATTTACAAATAAATAAATGAATGAATAAATGTTCTTTGTTCAGCTGTGGTAAGTTGTATCTCAAGGAGTTTGCCCATTCACAATTTCATATTAATTCGTATAAAATTATTATAGTGTTCCTTTTATATTGTAGAATCTGTAGTGGTATCTTCTTTTACATTCCTGATAATGGTTATTTGTGTTTTCTCCCATTTTTCCTTGATGAATTACGATAGAGATTTATCAGTCTTCTTAATCTTTCTAGAGAAACAACTTTTTATTTGGACTTTTCTCTATATGTTTGTATCTGTTTTGTTGATTTCTGCTGTTATGATTGTTTTCTATTTTTCTGGTTTGATTTACTGTGCTTTTTCTAGCTTCTTGAGATCAAGGCTTTTGATCATTGATTTCTTGGTCCTTTTTCTTCTCTAAAATAGCATTTGGATGTATAAATTGCCCTCTAAACACTGCCTTAACTCCAGCCTACGAATTTTGATGTATTTTGTTTTCATTACCGTTTGGTTCATCCAGTCAAAATACAGGAGTTTCTAATTTTCATTGTAATTTCTTCTTTAACCCATGAGTTGTTTAGTTTGCTTAATTTCCAATATTTAGAAATTTCCTAGTTATCTTTTACTGGCTGTTCTGTATGATTTCAAGCCCATGAAATTTGTTGAGACTAGCCTTATGACTCAGGATATAATCCGTTTTATAAATGTTCCCTATATACTGGAAAAGAATGTGTTCTGCAGTTGCTATAAATGTCAGTGAGGTCAAGTGGTTTGATAGTGCTGTTCAAGTCTGTCCAGCTATAAGTGTGGATTTGTGTTGCTTCCTTAAGGTCTGTCAGTTTCAGGTATATGTGTTTTGAAGCAATAGTATTAGATTCGTACACATTTAGTATTATATCTTCTGTGAGTTGACCCTCTTAACTGGATGAAATCTCCCTACTCATCTCTAATACTACTTATGTCAATTTTGCCTGATCCTAGTCTATTCATAGAGTTTTTCATGGGTTTTGTTGTACCCCTTCTGCCCTCACCCAAAAAGGAAAAGGTTAAATAGTTGAAAAGAGAGCTTCAGCATAGAATTGGAGTTTATTTAAAAAATCAGATGGATGTTTTATGACTGAAAAATAAAGTATCTTAGGAGTTATTGATGTTCAGTATATTGCTTTCCATCCTTTTACTTTAAAGCTTTTTCTTATACATGAAAGTGTTTATGTAATACAATTTCCAATATGATTGTATTTAAGTTGTATGGGATAATGACTTGTATGTAAATTGCAAAGTGATTACCTCAGGAAGTTTAGTTAACATTCATCATCTCATATGGATAACCCCCCAAAAAAGAGAAAAACGTTTTTTTTTTTCCTTGCAATTAGATCTTTCAGGATTTACTCTCTTAGCAACTTCGAAATACACCCTACAGCAGCGTTAACTATAGTCCTCATGTTGAACCTTACGGCCCCATTACTTATGTATTTTGTAACTGGAAGTTTGTACCTTTTGACCCCCTTTATCCAATTCTCCTACCTTTGGTAACCACATGTGATCTCACTTTCTACGAGTTTGGGTCTTTGGGACGTTTTGGGGTTTTTTTGGATTCCACATGTGAGATTATATCATATTTGTCTTTCTGTCTCATTTCACTGAGTGTATAAATGCTTTCAGAGTTCATCCATGTTGTTGCAAATGGCAGGATTTCCCTCTTTTTTTTTTTTTTTTACTGATTAGTATTCTGTTTTCTAGCATTACTTTTTTTTTTTCTTTTTTAAATTTATTTATGAGAGAGAGCAGGGGGAGGAGCAGAGGGAGAGGGACAAGCAGACTCCATGCTCAGTGCAAAGCCCAATGCAGGGCTCAGTCTTAGGACCCTGAGATCATGACCTGAGCTGAAACCAAGAATTGGACACTTATCTGACTGAACCACCCAGGTGCCCCTCTATTTTCTTTACCCATTCACTGAATGAACGTAGTCTGTGTCCACATCTTGGCTATTGTAAATAACGCTGCAGTGAACATGGGGGTGCAGATAACTCTTGAACATTAGTGATTTCTTTTCCTTCAGATATATACCCAGAAATGGAATTGCTGGTTCATATGGTAGTTTTATTTTTAATTTGTTTTGTTTTGTTTTTTTGTTTTTTGTTTTAATATTTTATTTCTTAGCATGTGAGAGAGAGAGAGAGCACAAGCAGGGGGGAGAGGTAGAGGCAGAGGGAGAAGCAGACTCCTCAGTGAGCAGGGATCCCGAATCAGGACTCAGTCCCAGGACCCTGGGATCATGACCTGAGCCAAAGCAGACGCTTAACCAGCTGAGCCACCCAGGTGCCCTATTTTTAATTTTTTGATGCATCCCCATACTAGTTTCAATAGAGGGAATTCACATTCCCTCCAGTAGTGTATGAGGGCTGCCTTTTCTCCATGTCCTCGCCTGCATTTGTTATCTCTCTCTCTTTTTGGTGATAGTCATTCTAACAAGTGGGAGGCTATAGCTCTTGGTTTTGATTTGCATTTCCCTGGTGATTAGTGATATTGAGCACCTTTTCATGTACCTGTAGTGCATAAGAATATCTTATTGGAAAAATGTCTATCTAGATCCCTTTGCCATTTTAAAGTTGGATTATTTGCTTTTTGGCTATTGGGTTGTAGGAGTTCTTTGTATATTTTGAATTTTAACCCCTTACCAGATATTATGAGTTGTAAGTATTTTCTCCCTTTCCATAGGTTGCTATAATTGAGTTTTTAAGTGTATCTTATTTTTTTTATTATTCTTCTCCCCACCATCAGCTTTTTAGTTATGCATTCTTTTTCCTTTCAGTGGTGTTTTCACCATAAGCTCAGAATGCCACCTTCACCGAATATGTGGGAAGAGGTTTTTTGTTTTTTTTTTTAATATTTATTTATTAGAGAGAGAGAGCACATGAGAGGGGGGAGGGTCAGAGGGAGAAGCAGACTCCCTGCTGAGCAAGAGCCCGATGCAGGACTCGATCCGGGGACTCCAGGATCATGACCTGAGCCGAAGGCAGTCGCTTAACCAACTGAGCCACCCAGGCGCCCATGTGGGAAGAGTTTTGACAATCCCTCATTCTTAATGTTCTTTTTTTTCTTTTTCAGACCCTTTTGACCAGATAGTCACCATGTTTAGATATTAGCAAGCACATGTGTATGTGTGCATTTGAAAATGGCAGAAGGAAACAATAATGAAGAAGTCATTCACTTGAACAACTTTCACTGCCACAGGGGACAAGGTAAGTGTTTGTTCTCACTTTCTCCCTTTCATCATTGCTTTTTCTCTTTATGGTACAGTCATAGTTTCTTTGAAATTAACCTATTTTGCACCATGTGGAACCCAGAGACATTTCATTTTTAGACCTCAGAACATCTGGTGTAGTGGACTCATCAGGCTAGAATTTTGTGTCAAATGGTGACACATACTGGCATGAATGAAGTTGAAGAATCTTTCATCACAAGTGGGTTATTAAGCTATTAATGAGCAAGCCAGAATAAGCTGTGAATGTGCAGTCATTGGATCTTAAGAGGTGGGAGTGTGGGAACTGTGGCAGTTCCGTTTTTGAAGGAATGGGGTCTTCAAAGGAGTGCTTCTCCAGGCCTATATGATCTGAAAGTGCTGCTCTAGCATTTTTGTCCCTTCATATTATGCTTAATTTATTTTTTGCCAAAAGATTCTGGTTGCCTTACAGGGAATTTTAGAGCATGTATTCTTTCATTGTACAGTGTTTAAAATTTGGGGAAGTTCATTGATTCAAAAAGGGAAGGGAGCCTGCCTTTCTGTAACATTGCTAAATGCATATGAAATTTCCTGTCAAATCCTAATTCACATTTACACTTAGGCCGAAAGGAGAAAATTCATGCTGCTGAGTAGGAGAAGTATTTTTTGCAAGTATAAATTCCGTGGAAGGGGGCACCTGAGTGGCTCAGTCGGTTAAGTGTCTGCTCAGGTCATGATCCTAGGGTCCGGGGATCAAGCCCCAAGTCAGGCTCCCTGCTAGGTGTGAAGTCTGCTTCTTTCTCTCCCTCTGTCCCTCCCCCTCCCCACTGTGTGTGTGTGCGTGTGTGTGTGTGCACGCGCGCACACTCACTCTCAAAAGAATTTTTTTAATTTTTTTTTAAAGTAAGGGAGATATTTTATTTTTTTAAAGATTTTATTTATTTATTTGGCAGAGAAATAGAACAAGTAGGCAGAGAGGCAGGCAGCGGGAGAGGGAGGAGAAGTAGGCTCCCTGCCGAGCAGGGAGCCCGATACGGGGCTCGATCCCAGGACCCTGGGATTATGACCTGAGCTGAAGGCAGCCGCCTAACCAACTGAGCCACCCAGGCGCCCCTAAAAGAATTTTTTTAAAGAAAATAAATTTCCATGGAAGAAATTGTACCATATTTTCCCCATTAATAATATTTTGTGCTTATGAAGATTATTTTTTTCCCAGCAGAGGATAAATTATATACATTTGGCTTTCAGAGAGCATTTAAAGTTGAACCGATCTTATTAAGCAAATAAATTGAGAAAAATAAAATGCTGTGCAAATTATGAGTGCAAAAGTACTAATTTTTAAAGGATTTTATTAATAGTTTATTCTAACTTGGTAGTAAGAGAACCATAATTTATTATGATTCAGAAAGTTTTAAATCTTAGCTGTAATTTGTATATGGGATCATTTCCAAATTTTTTGAACACATATCAAATTAGTGTTGTAGTTGTTTTGTGACTGGGTTTTAAATATACTTGAACAGAGTTTCAGAACAACTAATTCCTTTGGGGAAATTATTCACTCTGGAGGTATATTTTTCTGTTAGAAAAGTTTTGTGTGTTTTGCACCCAGCATGAAGATTTTTCTCAGGCATGCAGAGTTGTTTTGTTTTTATGTGCTGTATTAATTTTATTGTGCCAACCCCTGTAGGTTTATTTTTAAATCATCTTTATTGAGGTATAATTTACTTAAATAAATGCACACATTTTAAGCATATAGTTTAGTGAGCTCTGAAAAATGAAAATACCCATGTTACCACCCCCTTTACTCATGATGTGGAACATTTCTGTCATCCCAGAAAGGTTCCTTTATGCCCTCTCTGCGACCAGTCCTCACTGTACTCCTGGCCTAAGAAAACCACTGGTCTGTTTTTTGTCACTATACAGTTTCATATAAATGGAAGCATACAGTGTATACTCTTTATGCCTGAATTATTCTGCCCAACATAATGTTTTGAGATTCATCCATGGTTGCATGTATCAATTAAATCCTTTTTAATTGCTGAGTAATATTTAATTGCAAGAATTCCATACCCAGTAAAAATAGGCTTAAAAATGAAGGTAGGGGCACCTGGGTGGCTCAGTTGGTTAAGCAACTGCCTTCGGGCTCAGGTCATGATCCTGGGGTCCTAGGATCAAGCCCCACATCGGGCTCCCTGCTCTGCGGGGAGCCTGCTTCTCCCTCTCCCCATTTCCCCTGCTTGTGTTCCCTCTCTCGCTATGTCTCTGTTTGTCAAATAAATAAATAAAATCTTTAAAAAAAAAAAATGTAAAATTAGGGGCGCCTGGGTGGCTCAGTCGTTAAGCGTCTGCCTTCAGCTTAGGTCATGATCCCAGGGTCCTGGGATCAAGCCCCGCATCAGGCTCCCTGCTCAGCAGGAAGCCTGCTTCTCCCTCTCCCACTCCCCCTGCTTGTGTTCCCTCTCTTGCTATGTCTGTCTGTCAAATAAATAAATAAAATCTTAAAAAAGAAAAAAAGAAAAAAAAAAAGAAGGTAAAATAAAGGTTAAAAGTACAGGAATGAAAAGAGATAGGTTATGCAAATAGCACAAAAAAGAGCTGGTATATTGGGCGCCTGGGTGGCTCAGTTGGTTAAGCGACCGCCTTCGGCTCAGGTCATGATCCTGGAGTTCCAGGATTGAGTCCCGCATCAGGCTCCCTGCTCAGCAGGGAGTCTGCTTCTCCCTCTGACCCTCCTCCCTCTCATGCTCTCTGTCTCTCATTCTTTCCCTCTCAAATAAATAAATAAAATCTTTAAAAAAAAAAAAAAAAGCTGGTATGTCTATGTATTATCAGATAAAGTAGATACTTGAGCCAGAAGTATTAATAAATAAAGATAAAGAGTTTATAATGATAAAGGGATCAGTGCACTGGAAAGATAAAACAGTTCTAACCTCTGTACACTCAGTAACATGTCAAAATACACAAAGCAAAAATTGACAGAACTAAAAGGAGAAATGGATAAATCCACAATTATAATGGGGATTTTAACATGTTTCTTTAACTGACAGAGAGCAAGCATTCACAAACATTTGTATGATACAGAACACGATCAACAAATTTGACATAATAGACATAAGTGGAATACTGCACCCAACGTATTTAACAAAATTGGCCATGTTTTGAGCCACAAAACAAATTCCAGGTTTCAGAGGATTGAAATCATATAGGTTATATTCTCTAATCATGTTGGAATTAAGTTGTAAATCAATTACAGAAATATAATTAGAAAATCCTTATATGTGTGGAACATAGGAATACATTTCAGAATGACTTACAGTTCAAAGAAGAAATCACAGTGGAAATCAAAATATTTTGAATTGCATGATAAAATACAATCTGTTGAAGCTTATGAGATGCATCTAATATCATGTTTGAAGAAAACTGAATAATCTAAACGAGGACTTAGCAAATTTTTAAAAGTCAGATAGTCTGTTTTTGCCTTGCAAGTCTTGTGCTCTCTGTTGGCAATTACTCAGCTATACCATTATAATGCGAAGGCAGCTGTAGTTGATATATAAATGAATGAGCATGGCTATGTTCCAATAAGGACATGAAGTAGCAGGTACCATCCCACCCCACACTGCTGCCGGGGGTTTATATTAGCACAATTGGGAAAATTGTTTGGCATTGTCCACTAAAATTGAACACATGCTTTCCCTGTGGTTTAGCACTTCCACTCCTAAAATGTACCGAACTGAAATGAGTGTACCAATAGACATGTATAAGAATGTTCAAGACAGAATTAGGGGCACCTAGGTGGCTCAGTCAGTTAAGTATGCAACTCTTGATTTTGGCTCGGGTCATGATCTCAAGGTCGTGGGATCAAGCCTGAGTGAGCCTACTTACCGTTCTTTCTCTCCCTCTCCCTCCCTCTCTCCTTAAAAAAAAAAAAGTGTTCAAGACAGTGTTATCCAAAATAGCCAAGACTGGAACCAACCCAAATGTCCACTGACAGAAAAATAAATAACTTGCAATATAGTCATATAGTGGATTACGTACAGCAGAGAGCTACAGCACATGCCACAGCATGAATACATGGACCTAGGATTTGCAAGAAAGCCAGAAACGAATGTATACTCAAAAAACAAACAGAATTAGTCTGTGGAGTTAGGAGACTATTGTGCTGGAAATGTATTTACTGACCTTGGTGATGGTCACTCAGGTATGGGCCTTTTGATTAATTCATGGAGTTATACATTTGGTTCATAGACTTTGTTTTACTTTAATTTCTTATTTTTTTTTTACTTTTTTTTTTTAAGATTTTATTTATTCATGAGAGACAAAGAGAGAGAAGCAGAGGGAGAAGCAGGCTCCCAAGGAGCAGGGAGCCCGATGTGGGACTCGATCCCAGGACCCTGGGATCATATCCTGAGCCGAAGGCAGACGCTTAACCATCTGAGCCACCCAGGCGCCCCTACTTTAATTTTTTAAAGGCTAATGTGTTTATACATGGTGTGTTAGGGAATATCTTGTCAACCATTGGGCTTCCACTGTGAGGCGATAGGTGTCAAGCCAGCTTTTTCATTGGATCTTCCAAGGTTGTCAGTAAGTGTTCTTTTCTTGGGCCACTTCTTCCAGAAAGGAGTGTACAATTTCCTGCCTATGGAATCTGAGACTGTCTGCCAGCATTCTGGGAGCTAAGAAGTAGAAGGGAGCCAGAGTCTTGTTCATTATGCTATTTCACTGGCACCCCTTTCCTGTCTTGACCCTGTGCTTGGTATGTAGTGCCTCTGCCTCAGTGTCTCTTCATAATGGACCTCCACAGGGTGGGTTTTTTTGGAATGGCTGACTGAGCTTATTAGCAAATTCTCTCCAAAACCAGTGGTAAAATTAGACAAAATTGTCCGGAGCTCCACTCTGCTTGCTAGGTGGGGTGCTGCCCAAATCATTCATTGCTTAATAAAGCCAATTAGATCTTCCAAAAAGAATTAGAATTGTCAAAAACAACCATTTAATATCTGGAAATGACCAAAGGAATATAATGATTGGGAACATTCAGGAAAATCTGGGATTCTGTCACATGAATTAGGCTACCTCTGGTTGGCTGTCCACCCTGCAGGCTGTGGGTTTGAGCCTTCTGCCCTCAAACCATCACTGTTAACCTTTTTTTTAATGTTGAGGAAGTGATGCTTGATGAAGTTAGGTAATAGCATCATGTGGCTGGCATATGGTGGAGTGGAGACTTGAACCCAGGCAGTCTGACCTTAGATTCAACAAACTGCTCTCACTGGCTCAACACAGCTCTGTTACAGGGATGAAATGAGATAATTGACTTTAGATTGCTTTTCAAATTGTTGGATGCTGGGCGCCTGGGTGGCTCCGTCGTTAAGCGTCTGCCTTCGGCTCAGGTCATGATCCCAGGGTCTTGGGATCGAGTCCCACATCGGCCTCCCTGCTCTGCGGGAAGCCTGCTACTCCCTCTCCCACTCCCCCTGCTTGTGTTCCCTCTCTCGCTGTGTCTCTGTCAAATAAATAAATAAAATCTTTTTAAAAAAATTGTTGGATGCCATTAAAATAAATGAGGCATTAGCCTTGAAAAAGATACTAGAGCTTTAATGGAGATATTTCAACATTTGTAATTGATGATACCTCTTTTCTCATTGTGGGTTTTTTTCCCCCCTAACCTTTTCTCTAGGACTCTTTTTTTTTTTTTAAAGATTTTATTTATTTATTTGAGAGAGAGAGAATGAGAGATAGAGAGCACGAGAGGGAAGAGGGTCAGAGGGAGAAGCAGGCTCCCTGCCGAGCAGGGAGCCCGATGCGGGACTCGATCCTGGGACTCCAGGATCATGACCTGAGCCGAAGGCAGTCGCTTAACCAACTGAGCCACCCAGGCGCCCTTCTGTAGGACTCTTAATGCATTTTCTCTTCATTGCCTGTTTTAACCTTTAACATTCCCATGAGCCAGGCAGGAAAAATTTAACAGTTTGTGTTATCCAGTAATTCATATTCAAACAAATAAAAGGAGTTAGAACCTTTGAACATAATTTCTGTATCCAGATAGTTAGCTTAACTCTAGTTGTACTTAAAAGGATGGGGCACCTGGTTGGCTCATCAGTTAAACGTCCGACTCTTGATTTCGGCTCAGGTCATAATCTCAGGGTCCTGAGATCAAGCCCTATGTTGGGCTCCACGCTCAATGGGGAATCTGCTTCTCTCCTCCCTCTCCCTCTGCTCTTCCCACTGCTCTAGTGCTCACTCATGCGCATGCTCTCTCTCATCTTTAAAAAAAATAATAAAATTTAAAAATAAAAGGCAATTAGGAAGGTTCTGTTGTTTGCAGTCATAGATGCTAAATGGGTGTTTGAAACAATGAACTATGTGTAAACTATTTAAAGTTTATGTATAAGGTGAGCAAATTGGTATTTTAACTATTAAATGAAAATTTTACTTAGTTTCGAGTGAAAGTTTTTTCAGATTAATCAGTTGAATAAAACAACTTCCAGTTGTTTTAATAGTAATAGAGACGGGAGTAATAGAGATGAGGTGGGAGTAATAGAGAGATGAGGTGGGAGACCATGATTTCACTTTTTAAAAATTGGCAGTCAGGATTTCACCAACAGATTTCTCAGACCTAGTATAAGAAAAAGTTGATAATGTTGTCAGATTTTCTCTGTTGATTCCTAAAATGTATTATTGGCAAGGCTCACCACGGAAACCTGGCTGTGGGTGCGGGTGCTGCTTGAGATAAGCTAACACACCAGTAGCTTTTCATGCCAAAATTGAATTAAAAGACTGAATGTGATCATGCTTATCTCCTGGTAACCATGTTCTCTGCCTCCTTTTAGACTGGATCAATCTCAGAGATGGACCCATCACTATATCTGACTCCTCTGATGAGGAAGGGGTTCCTATGCTGGTCACCCCAGCTCCTCAGGAACACGACGAAGAGGACCTGGATGATGATGTCATTCTGACAGAAGTGAGTTTCCTTAAACTTACCGTGATGAGGCATTCTTGCAAGTTACTGATCTGATTCTTCGGCCCTGCAGCAGTGGTGGTTGGTAGGACAGCTGAGAGCGCCGTTTCTGTTGCCCTGTCGCACTCTGTGTGCTGTGGTCCTGCATCTCTGAGAACAGCCCCTTTTCTACCCTGACTGATGCCCCCATAGCTTTAGAAGCCGTACGTTTGGTCTCTTTCTCAACTTCTGCACTATTGCTGTGACTATTTGTGCACTAGTCTGCACTGTTGGAATTACCACAACCTAATTGTGTATTTTAATATCAGGTAGTGCTTATCTCCCCTGTTTACTCTACATTTTTCAGAATCATCCTGGATATTTTTTTGCTTATAGTTTTATATAAATTTTGAGCTCAGCTTTTCTAATTCCAGTAGGTAGATCAATGAATTCAAAACAAATCTTATCGTTAAACTTAACAATTCTTTATAATACTGACCCTTTCTAACTTTTGTTCCATTTGGTCTAGCCTTCCTTTATATCCCTCAGTTAGAGCATTTTGAATTTTTCTTACTATAAATGTTAAACATTTTTGTTAAGTTTCTTCCTGGTATTTTAACTTTTCTGTCACTTTTGTAAATGGCATCTTTTCTTCCACTATACCTTTTAACCACTGTTTTTTTTAATTTAGGAGTCTGTTGGTTTTAATATTAATTTTATATTAATTTCACCTTATCTTTATCATCTGTAGTTGTTTTTCAGTTGACCCTATGAACCTCTCAAGGGATGGCATCTGATCTATCTGCAAGTAATAATACTTGCAGTTTCTTCCTTTCTAGTTTTTATATTTGTCTTTATCTTGTCTAATTATATTAAATAATATCTTCTCAAAAATTTTAATAGTAGGAATAGGAATGAGAAAAATACCCACTGGCATGAATGGGAATACAGAATACTTCTAGTGTTTCTTCGCTAAGTGAGATGGTGGCTTTTTGCTTGAGATACCTTTTTTTTTTTTTTTTAAGATTTTATTTATTTATTAGAGGGCACCGGTCGGGGAGGAGCAGTGGGAGAGGGAGAACCAGACTCCTGCCTGAGCAGGGAGCCTGATGTGAGACTCAGTCCTGGAATTCTCTGATCATGACCTGAGCTGAAGACAGACGCTTAACCAACTGAGCCACCCAGGCACTCCTGCGATACCATTTTTTAAAGTATGTTAAGGAAGTAGCCATCTACTTTAAGTTTTTATTAGTGAATACAGAATTCTATCAAATTCCGTTTTAGCATCTGTGGAGATTGTCATATAATTTTTCTTCGCTCTCTTAATGTAAATTATTTTGCCGTCTCTGGATCGACTCTGTGTGGTAATGGTATTATAATGTAATGGTAATATGCCCTTGGATTCCATTTGCTAAGATTTTATTTAGGGTTTTCTCCATAGATCTCATGAGTGAGATTGGCCTGTAGTGTATGTGTGTGCCTGTGCTATCTTTGACAGGGTTTTTATAAACATGATTGATTCTGATTTCATAAAAAGAATTTAGAAGTTTTCTTTCTTCCTTGCTTTAATATTACTATTTTAAATAACATTTGAGTTATGTTCCTTACAGATTTGGTAAAATCTGGCATTTGGGCTGTTGCTTTTCTTGGAGGCCAGTTCTTTGAAACTGTCTCAGCTTCCTCTACAGTAATTAACATGTCTAGATTTTCTGTCACTTTTTTTTTTTTTTTTAAGTAGGCTTTGCACCCAGCATGGAGCCCAACGCAGGGCTCAAACTCAATGACCATAAGATTAGTACCTGAGCTGAAATCAGGAGTCAAACACTTAACCGACTGAGATACCCAGGCGTCCCCTTCTGTCACTTTTTTTTTTTTTAAAGATTTATTTATTTTAGAGACTGTAGGAGGGGCAGAGGGAGAGAGAGAATCTCAAGCAGTCTCTGCACTGAGCATGGAGTCCAATGCAGGGCTTGATCTCACGACCCTGAGATTACCACCTGAACTGAAACCAAGAGTTGGATGTTTAAGTGACCAAGCCACCCCAGGCGCCCCTTCTCTCACTTTAATATCAGTTTGTGTGTTTTTTTTTTGTTTTGTTTTTGTTTCTTTAAGGATTTTATTTATTTATTTGACAGAGACACAGCGAGAGGGAACACAAACGGGGAGAGGGAGAAGGAGAAGCAGGCTTCCCGCTGAGCAGGGAGCCCGATGCGGGGCTCGATCCCAGGATACTGGGATCGTGACCTGAGCCGAGAACTGAGTTCTCAACAACTGAGCCACCCAGGCACCCCTTAATATCAGTTTTGTTCACTGATATTTTCCTACAAAATAATTTCTTTAAGTTTTTTTAATGTATTTAATAAATAACTTGTTGTCTTCTCTCTGTCCTCTGAGTCTGTGGTTCCTCCATTTTCCTTTTCTATTTTGTGTACTTTTTATCCCCTTTCCCTGATTTGATGAACTGACATTACCTTCCTTCCTCCCCTCTTCTCCCTCCTTCACCAAAGAAACTGCTTTGAGATTCGTGTTCTAGTGCTACCATTTGTTTTACTGATTAGTTTCTGCTTTTGTCTTGAATGCTTTCCTTCTGCTTTAGCATATTTAACATGCTTCTTTGGCATTTATTTTATGGTCCTTTTACTAACTTCTTGAGTTAGTCATTCTTCTTTTATATTTATTATTATTTTACTTATTGCCATGTAATGTATCACCTCAAAACTTAACGACTTAAAACAACTGCAGTCATTTGTTTCTATGGATCAGGAATTTGAGAAGGGCTCAGCTGGATTATTCTGGCTTGGGACGTCTTGTGTGGCTGTTGTCAGATGGTGCTGGAGCTGGGGCAGCAGGGGACTGGAGCAGCTAGAAGCCAACAGGCATTGCTTTTATCGGGGCTTCTACATAGGCTCTCTCTCCCTTTTTATTTTATTTTTTTAAAGATTTTATTTATTTATTTGAGAGAGAGAGAGAATGAGAGATAGCACGAGAGGGAAGAGGGTCAGAGGGAGAAGCAGACTCCCTGCTGAGCAGGGAGCCCGATGTGGGACTCGATCCCAGGACTCCAGGATCATGACCTGAGCCGAAGGCAGTCGCTTAACCAACTGAGCCATCCAGGCGCCCCTCTCTCCCTTTTTAAAACAACTTTTTTGAGATATAATTCACATACCATACAGTTTATCCATCTAAAATATACAGTTTGGGGCACCTGGGTGGCTCAGTCAGTTAAACATCCAACTCTTAGCTCAGGTCTTGATCTCAGGGTCATGAGTTCAAGCCCACACTGGGCTGCACACTGGGCGTGGAGTCTACTTAAAAAAAGAAAAGTATATAGGTCAGTAGTTTTTCATGTATTTACAGAGTTTTGCAGCCATCAACACAATTTTAGGATGTTTTCATTATCCCAAAAGGAAACCCTATGCCTATTAACAGTGATTGCTAACCCCCCTCACCCCGACACCACCATCCTCTGCACCCCTCCCTAGGCAACCACTAATTTACTTTGTCTGTATACATGTGCCTTTCTTATGGACATTTCATATGAATGGAATCATACAATATGTGATTTTATTTGTGACCAGCTTCTTTCATTCAACATAATGTCTTCAAGATTCATCTGTGATGTAGCATAAGTAAGTACTTCCTTTTTATTGCCAAATAATATTCCATTGTATGGATGTACCACATGTTGTTTATCCATTCATCAATTGATGGACATATGGGATGTTTCCACTTTTTGCTGTTATGACTAATGGTGCTATGAACATTCATGTAGCAGTTTTTGTGTGGACATATTTTTTTTTCCATGGTTATTGTCTTAGTCCATTCCGGCTACTATAACAGAATACCACTGGGTAGCTTATAAACAACAGAAATTTATTGCTCACAGTTCTGGAGGCTGGGAAGTCCAAGATCAAGACGCCAGCATGGTTGTGTTCTAATGAAGACCCTCTTTCTGGTTCAAAGCTAGCACCTCTCACTGTGTCCTCACATGGTAGAAGAGGCTAGGGATCTCACTGGAGCCTCTTCTACAAAGGCACTAATCCCATTCATGAGGGTTCATGAGGGCCAGGAAGACTGACCCGAACATTAAGACCATAGCAGTTATACCCCTAGGAATGGAATTGTTGGATCATATAATAACTCTGTTTTATTCTACCAGACTGTTTTCCATAGGAGATGCACTGTTGTACATTCCCACCAGCAGTGAATGAGGGTTCCAGTTTCTCCATATTCTCTCAAACAATTGTTAGTTATATCTTTTTTATCACTGCCATCCTTATAGATGTGAAGTGGTATCTCATGGTTTTGAATTGCATTTCCCTATGGCTCATGTTATTTAGCCTCTTTTGATGTGCTTATTGACATTTGCATATCTTCTTTGGAGAAATGCCTATGCAGATCATGTGCCCATTTTTAAACAGGATTGTCTTTGTATTATTGAATCTTTGTATATTCATAGTGACCCTTATCAGATACCTGATTTGCATATATTTTCTCTCATTCTTTGAATTGTCTTTTCACTGTTTGATGGTGTCCTTTGAAGCATAAAAGTTTTAAACTTTGATGAAATTCAGTTTATTCTTTTGTCAGTTGTTTTTGGTGTCAGGTCTAATACATGTGATCTGTTTTAAGGGCTTGTTCAGGCTTCCTCACATCACAGAGGTGCCTCAGCATTAATATAAATTAGTACTTTAAATTCTTCCTGGATAAAGACTTTAGAACACTTTAACTCTATTTACCTACCAAATTAAATACTGTTCTTTAAATACATCTTAATTTTGTATACATTTTTTTAAACCCTACACAATCTTTTTTGTTTTATATGATCAGCATCCACTTCATTTCCTCCAAATATTTCCCTTTTTTGTTGTTCTTCATTACTTTCTGCATCTTGCAGATTATTTTTCTTCTACCTAAAGAACACTCCTTAGGGCGCCTGGGTGGCTCAGTTGGTTAAGCGACTGCCTTCGGCTCAGGTCATGATCCTGGAGTCCCTGGATCGAGTTCCTGCATCGGGCTCCCTGCTCGGCAGGGAGTCTGCTTCTCCCTCTGACCCTCCCCCCTCTCATGTGCTCTCTCTCTCTCTCTCTCTCTCATTCTCTCTGTCTCAAAGAAAGAAAGTAAGAAAGAACGCTCCTTAGGACTTCCTTTACAGTAAATCTGATCTTTTCACTCAGCATAAAATTCTTTGTGGTAGTTATTTTCTTTTAACACTAGGAATGTATTATTCCAGTGTTTTCTGGCTTTCATTTTTGTGTTGAAAAGTCAGTCTTATTTTTGCTTTTGAAGGCAATATGTGCTTTTAAGAACTTATATTTGATTTCTGAGGTCTTCCTGTGCTTAACTTAGGTTTCTGTCGTTTGGGGTTTTTTAATTCATCCTGCTTAGATCTTCAAAACAAATAAAGCCACTGTCCTTTCTGAATATTTGTATTTTGTCTTCAAATATTGCTTCTTATCTCTCTCTTTCAGAACTCCACTTACATAGTTGGTAAAACCTTTTCACTATAGTCTTTATTTCTACTGTTTTCTTACCTAATTTTCAATCATTTTGTATCTATTCCTTATTTAGGCTGCTTCCTTTTTTTTTTTTTTTTTAAGATTTTATTTGAGAGAGAGTGCACATGTTAGGGGGAGGGACAGAGGAAGAGGGAGAAGCAGACTCCCCACTGAGCAGGGAGCCTGATGCGGGGCTCGATCCCAGGACCCCGGGATCATGACCTGAGCTGAAAGCTGACACTTAACCGACTGAGCCACCCAGGTGCCCCTCACATTTGTTTTCCTTTTTTGTTTGTTTGTTTTATTTGCCAGAGAAGGAGAGCACAAGCAGGGGGAGTGGCAGGCAGAGGGAGAAGCAGGCTCCCCACTGAGCCAGGAGCCCAATGCGGGACTCAATCCCAGGATCCTGGCATCATGACCTGAGCTGAAGCAGACACTTAACCGACTGAGCCACCCAGGCATCCCTTAACATTTGTTTTTCAAACAAGGTTGGGGGACGAGCAATTTCAGATGGAGGGATTTAAACTATCCAAGCTAGGATTCATTTCCAGGGAGGTCCAGCATATTTCCAGTTCACCCTTGAATTTGAGATTTACCAGAACCCTTCCCTGTGGTGAGTTCTGAATTCCACCTTTGGTGCCCATAGCTCCTCAGTAAGGATGTCAGAAGTGTTGTTTGTCTTCTTATCTTCAGCCGGACCTGGAATTAGCAAATGTAGCTATAAGAGAAAAGTACCCCAGTGTGGGGCTCATTTTACTGGACTTCTTCCTGGTTCCTGTCCCTCTATATATCTGAGGCCTTCAAGTAGATGTTTGATGTTGCTTTGATACTTTGACCAAGTTTTCTGCTTTTACTCAGTAGAAGGGTTGTTCTGAATGATCTAGCTAGCATGTTGTTACTAGAAACAGAAGTCCACTTTTGTGCCCTTAACCATGTGCTTTCTGAATCACTGTGTGCCAATAACTTGCTTATGTGATCAAGTGTATGGTTGGGTTTTGCTTTAGGGGTTCTTTTTAAAGAGACTTTTAAATTTAATAGAGGAATTGATCTCTTTTATATTAAATTATTTAATCACTACATCCAAGGTAGGGCTCAAACTCACAACCCCAAGATCAAGAGTCGTACACTCCCCTGAGCCAGTAAGGTGCCCCTCATTTATATTTATTAATGTGACTATTACAATTTGTTTTTAGTTCTCTCATAGTATTTCTTTTGCTTTACATTTTTACTGCTTTTAAAAATAATCTTTCAGGGATACCTGGGTGGCTCATTAAGGTTAAGCATCCGACTCTTGATTTCAGCTCAGTTCATGATTTCATGGTCATGGGATCGAGCCCTGTCAGGCTCTACACTCAGCAGGGAGTCTGCTTAAGGTTCCCTCTCTCTTCTTCCTCTGCCTCTCTTCCCGGCTCAAATGCTCTCATGCTCTCTCTCAAAAATAAATAAATAAATCTTTTTAAAAATAATTATCTTTCACTATATATTCCCTGTATCTTGGAGGTTTTGTTTTTACTTATTTTGAGGCCATGTTCTAGCTGATAATTTGAAAAAAAATTTTTTTTTAATTTTTCTTTTTTTTTGAAAGCTTTTTACCCTTAGTTTTATTCTTTTTAGTTCTTCTGGTATTACTTTTATAGTTTCAAATGTTGTCCTTACATGTATCAGTTGATTTATCAGCTTTAAGTGTATTTTTGGACCCCTGGCTTCTTCACTTCACCTCCCAGCTTTTGATGATTACCTTATTTCTACTCAACCATGATTTAAAATATTTATATTAAAGAGATAATTATTTTATTACTTTTTTGTGTTCTTGTTTTTGTTTTGTCACTATTTTACCTGCTGTGTAATACTAATTTTCTAATTATGTTACTTATCTGCCATTTCTTTTTTTAAAAGTTGGATATCTTTATATAGTTTCTAGTTGGTTTTTTTTTTTTAAGATTTTATTTATTTGAGAGAGAGAATGAGAGAGAGAGAGCATGAGCAGGGGGAGGGTCAGAGGGAGAAGCAGACTCCCCGCTAAGCGGGGAGCCCAATGCAGGACTTGATCCCGGGACTCCAGGATCATGACCTGAGCCGAAGGCAGTCGCTTAACCAACTGAGCCACCCAGGTGCCCTCTAGTTGTTTTTTATTACTCAACTTTGAATGCAATTGAAGTTTTCCTGGACCAGCTCTTTGTAGGCAGTTACGTTGGGGAAAGGCTCAGGCACTGTTGCTGACTAGCAGTTCTCTCTTACCAGAGGGCGGGTGTGTGCACACATGTGCATGCGCACAAGGGGTGTTTGTGCACGTGGACTTATGTTTATATAGCCTTCTCTTCTTAGGACCTGGCAGAGATTGCTGGTTCCACAGAAGCCCATTTCAAAGTTTCTGTCCATCCTGTGTCACTGACAGCCTGCCCCCCCATCACACACACACACACACACACACACACACACACACACACACACACACAGGTGTTTGTTCCCTTCTAGTCTAAGCTCCTCAGAAACTCCTGTCAAATGGAGTGGCAGTTCCCCTTTTTCCAAACAGGGTATTGGTCTTGTCCTCCCAGGGCACAACACCGTCTTTGGAAAACTTTCTGCCTTTCTGAAGCTTTCTCTTCCTTATCTGAAGTCTGTAGTTGTACTTCTGTCACTGCATTTATCAGCTCCTCCTCTTACATGTTGTGATTTGGGATTGCACATGTCTGCTGGTTTCATCAAAGATTTTCAGTTCTGTGTCTCATTCTTCTCCCTGGATTGGGGTGATTTCAGAGGAAAGGTCAGAGGCATCTATATTCTGTTACCTTACAAATGGACATCCATTTCAATTAAACTTCTCTCTTGGGCATAAACTGTAGAATGTCTCTGATTTTTTTCTTTTTATTATAAGCAATGTGGCAGTGAGTATCTGATATATATATGTGCCCTTTAGATACATAAGGGTTTGTAGAATAGATATAAAAAGGTTGTGCTGATAGATCCAAAAGGTTGTACTGATAGATCCTAAGGATATACATTTTTAATTTAGTCAGTAATGCCAAATTGTTTTCCTAAATTCTCCAGCAGTGAATGATAGCCTGAGAGTTTTCCCACATCCTTATCACTGTTTGATATTATCTAACTAAAAACTCTGCCAGTCTTATGGGGGCTGGGGTCTTTTTTTAATTTGCATTTTGCTAACTACTAATGAAGCTTAAATTCTTTCCATATTTTTTAACAGTCCTCATTCCTCTGCTGTTTTGTCATTCTTTCATTATTTCCTCTGCTATGTAGTTATTTTTTAGTGGTCTCAGGTGAAATTATAATTCAAACTATAACTCAGGTTCCAGTCTATGAATGGCTACTCTGATTCTTACAGTTGTGATCAAATTTCAATGTTAAGAGAAATGTTGAGAATAGGTTTTGTTGGGTAGGGTGTTTTGGGTTTTGTTTCTTTCCTGTCCTGTCTCCGAAGCTCAACATAAGTACACAAGGAGACATAGACCTAGGAAAGAAATTGAATTATTATTAAAATTTCATTTTTTCTTAGACAAATAAACCTCAGACATCACGACCCAATCTCATCAAACCAGCTGCCCAGTGGCAAGATCTCAAAAGATTGGGAGAAGAAAGGCCTAAAAAGTCTAGAACAGCCTTTGAATCAGATAAGAACGGCTATTTTTCAGTGTGTAACAGCTCATTGTTTGATTCTGGGGCACAGGATGATTCTGAGGATGACTACGGTGAATTTCTGGATCTTGGGCCTCCTGGAGTTTCTGAATTCATTAAGCCAAGCGGCCAAACAGAAAGAGAACCCAAACCTGGACCAAGTCATAACCAAGCAGCAAATGACATCGTCAACCCGAGATCAGAGCAGAAAATCGTTATCTTGGAAGAAGGTAGCCTTCTTTTACCAGAAGGTGATCCTCTAGACACTCAGAACCAGTCATCTGAAGATTCAGAGACAGAGCTTTTATCAAACCTTGAAGAATCTACTGCTATCCTAGATGATCAAGCCATCGGAGAAGACTGCTGGTTAGACCATCCTTACTTCCAGTCCCTAAACCAACAGCCCCGTGAGAGAACAAACCAGGTTGTTCCTCAGAAGCGGCAGCCTGAAGCAGAACTGGGCCCGTTGTTGTATCAACATGAACCCCCAGGGCTGGCTTTTCCAAGGCCAGCTTTTCCAAGACCAGAACCCCAGCAGGATGGGATTCCAGGCCCTTCTTCTCCTCAGCCTGCCCATCCTCTAGGAGAGCTTGAAGACCAACAATTAGCAATAGATGATGAAGAGCCAGGACCAGCCTTTCCACCACAAGGATCTCAGGAGCCCAATTTGGAAAACCTCTGGGGGCAAGAAGCTACTGAGGTAGATCAAGAACTCGTTGCACTTTTAGTGAAAGAAACAGTAAGTTTTATTTTATTTAAGTGAATAATTACACTAAATGTACTGAGTTTTCTTTTACTGCAAAATCACGACGGGGTGGGGGGTGCACTTCATTTTCCTAAGGGATCTATAGCTGGATACCAGGAGAAGAAAGACTCTGAAGATAGGAAAATTAAATCAGTATTCCTAATCTATCCTTAACCCCACAGCAAGCCCTCTGGGATTCTAGCTGCAGATCATGGGTACCCTGGTGCTGTCATATGAGCAGTGCCCCTGGTTTTAAAAAGGTTTTGAGTTAATTCCAATTCAGACCCATAAGGCAGGTTTATAAGATTACCTAGAGCTGCACTGTCCAATGTGGTAGTTTCATGTACCTGTTTAAATGTAAGTGTCTTACAATTAAATAAAATTTAAAATTCCATTTCCAGTGGTACTAGTCACATTTAAAGTGCCTGATAGTTACATGGGGCTGAAGAGCTACCATACTGGAAAGCACAGAATAGAATATTTTCATCATTGTATGAAGTTCTTTTGGATATCCCTCATATAGAGTGTGATACAGGGCTGTGGGTTCTGGCTCAGCTGCTCATTGCCTTTGAGCAGGCTTTTAACCCTTCTTCCCCCGGGTGTTTTCATCTGGCACACTAGCTCATGTGCATTTTAAGAGGTAGTGCTTTACTCCTTTTCGGACTCCTTTTGCCTGGGCAGAGATGTTCAGCGTTAATTGAAAGAGTGAAGAACGGGGGCACGAGCCATGAGAGATGATGGACTCCGAGAAACAGGGTTCTAGAGGGGAGGGGTTTGGGGGGATGGGTTGGCTGGTGATGGGTATTAAAGAGGGCACATTCTGCATGGAGCACTGGGTGTTGTATGAAAACAATGAATCATGGAACAGTACATCAAAAACTAATGATGTATTGTATGGTGATTAACATAACATAATAAAAGTAAAAAAAAAAAAAAAGCGCGAAGAACGGATATGCAAAGTGGCAGAGGACCAGATAATCTCTACGGTCCTTTCTAGAGTCCACAGTCTGTGCAGACACGTACGTCTACGCACAGACCTGCCTTACAACCCCTTTCTCGTCTTGAGTCATTTTACTTTTTGCCATCTGGTTTTTATTGCGATTTGAAACCATTCTTGTGGATAAAAAATAATGTTTTTATTCCTTTTCAGGAGGCAAGATTTCCAGACGTTGCAAATGGGTATATTGAGGAGATAATTCATTTGAAGAATTATTATGATTTGAATGTGTAAGTACACCACATGCCTTTTGTTTTTCTTACTCTAGTGAAATACACATAATATAAAAATCTACCGTTTTTACCATTTTTAAGTATACAGATCAGTGGCATTAATTATCTCCACATTTTTGCACAACCATCGCCACCATCCCCAGAACATTTTCATCTTCCCAAAATGGAACTGTCCCCATTAAACATTAACTCCTCATCCCCCGCCCCTCCACCCCCAGCCCCTGCGACCTACACTTCTTCTACTTTCTCTCTCTCTGAATTTGACTACTCCAGGGACTTCATAATAGTAGAATAACACAGTATTTATCCTTTTGTGACTGGCTTATTTCACTTAGCATTATGTTTTCTTTAATGATCCTGTTAGAAGAGTTCTAATTTTAGTCATGTACAGACTTTTCTGGGTTTTACTTAATCCTGCATGGTTATGGAATTAAGGTGTTTTGTTAATTCTGAGCATTGATGCTACGTGTTTTGGTCAGGTTGTTGAAAGACATTTTCTTCCCTATATTTGTAACAAAGTGTTCTGCAACCACTCTGCCTGTTTGGAGAAGTGTATGGAAGTGTTTCTTTAGTGTTTATCACAAAAATGATAACTATAATTTTTAAAAAATAGAAGTGTCCCAAAGAAAACAAAGTAAGTCCTTTTCCTTTTACACTCTTTTCCTTCCTAGTCTGCAGAGATAAAACCGTTGTAAATTTGTGAGGAACGTAAAATATTGAAACTAATAAAATTTTCAGTTAATTAATACAGATTACATCCATCGAACAGAAGAGGTAGTATACCTAAACGTCTGTCCTCAAAAGATTATGCCCAGCACTATAATACTCAGCCCAGAGTGCAAGTGAGAGCTGTTCCCTGCCACGGCCAAGTGGGAAGAGCCCCATTTCCCAGGTCAGGAGCCAGAGGAAATGCTCTGTTCTAATTCATACAAAGACACTGTTGGTGCCAGTGGCCACTCTGTCTTGTCGCCCTCTATCCAGGGATAGCCACTGTGACCCAGCTTGTTTGTTTGTTTTAAGATTTTATTTATTTTTTTGAGAGAGAAAGAGATAGCGAGAGAGAGCACGAGCGGGGAGGAGAGGGAGAAGCAGACTCCCCGCTGAGCAGGGAGCCCAACACGGGGCTCGATCCCAGAACCCCAGGTCATGACCTGAGCTGAAGGCAGACGCTTAACGACTGAGCCCCCCAGGTGAACCAGAAATGAGTCAAAGTTTCATAATGTGTTTCTCTCTTTAGCTTCTTAATCTAGAATAATCCCCCACTTAATTTTTTTTAATGTCATTGATTTTCCTCCTAGTATTTTTTGACATAGGTTGAAAGACTATACAATGAACACCCATATATCCACCACCTGGATTATTATCTGGCATTCTGGCTGTAAGATCTTTGTCCTTTTACTTCTTTTTACTCTTTTTCTAAGTTACTGTGGACTTAAAAGTTTTTATATAAGTGGTATTTTAAAATGAGTTAAAACTTTTTGTTTCTGGTACTGAATTATCCTACGTTTGACCAGTAGGAACCTCTTAAGATGCATCTGTATCATTTTGACATGGCCCAGTTAGTCTGAGCATGTCCTTGCTTTGTAAAACACAGAGTTGCCTGGGCTTACTTTGAATGTTTCTGCCCTAAACCTGGAATGTGGTCATTTCTCCAAAAAACCCGGGTTTTTGCCGCTAGCATGTCATCACTTGTCAGCCCTTACAGGGGACAGACCAAGGAAATACGGGGTTTTTTTAATTACATGTTCATGATTTCCCATTTAAGTTTAACATTAAGGTTTTTTTCCCTCAGTCTTTCTAAATTTTACATTTTTGTGTTCTTCCACGAGAAATGTAGTTTCTAGTAACATTAATACATTTTTTTATCCTATAATAGACATAAAATAAATTGTAGTACCAGTGTTACTATTGAGGACTACTACTGAGTGAAGTAAAAAATGTTTTATAGTTATTTTGTGCTTAATGCATATCTCACTAAGGCAGTACAGTTAGAATATAGACTATCCTAGGCAGTAGATCGATCACGTTCCTCAGTTCTAGAAATTTGGTAGCCAGTATCTCCTCAAATAATCCTGTTCTCTTCCTTTTGCTGTCACACTTTTCCCCCATCCCCTGTGGCTCTTGACCCCATCTCTTTGTCTCTGTGATACACTCTGGATGATTTCTTCAAGGCTCACTAATTTTCTTTTTAGTGGGGTGTAATCTGCCATTAAACTCATCCACAGAGGTGCCTAGGTGTCTCAGTCGTTAAGCGTCTGCCTTCGGCTCAAGTCATGATCCCAGGGTCCTGAGATCGAGCCCCACCTCGGGCTCCCTGCTCCGTGGGAAGCCTGCTTCTCCCTCTCCCACTCCCCCTGCTTGTGTTCCTGTTCTCGCTCGCTCTCTCAAATAAATAAAATCTTAAAAAAAAAAAACTCATCCACAGTGTTTTTAGTTCCATTTCCTATATTCTTCTCATTCTGGCATCCTTATTTTATAATACTCCAGATCATTTTTCTAGTGTCATTTTTTGCCTGTATTTTTAATCCATTTAGTTCTCTAAACACAATAAACATAGCTTCTTTGTGTTCTGAGTGTGATCATTCTGACACGTGAAGTCCTTGTGAATCTCATTCTGTTGTTTCTGCTGGCTCTCTTGGTGTCCTGTTTTCCTTGTGCGTCTTGTAAATTTTAACTGTGAGCTCATTTCTTGGGGTTTTGATAGAAATGGTTCCTTTGGGGAGGATTCACTTTTTCATCACGTGCCCAGGGGCAGTGTCAGTCTAACACTTTATACTTTAGATTGTTGTCTGCAAGGCTTTGGGTCATCAAGATAGTAAGAATTTAGTCTTGGATGAGGACTGGGTATAATCTTCACCAATTCTCACAGGGCGTTTTGTTTTCCTCTCCATCCACTCGTCAGTATTAAAGCATGTTTCTCCTTGTGGTCTGTAAGATTTGTCTGTGTGCCCTATGAAGTAAGAGCTCAAGAAGATGATGAATATCATCATCATTATTTTCTTTTTGAATATATAAATGACTTGATGAGTGCACTTAGGAAAATCTTGCTTCTGTTTAGCTTACTTCTCTGGGGTTTCACTTTCACTTAGGTTTGGACTCCTAGGAACTCCTAACTTTAATTTGATTGCAAGTTCTGTTTTAATATCAGCATTTTTTAAGCCTTTTTTCTTGTGGACTGCATACAGAAAAAGGCACAAAATTAAGATAGCCAGCCTAATAATTTATCACAAATCAAACATTCATGTAACTACCACCTAGAAATCTTCAAAAAATAGAACATTGCCACCATCTTTGAACACTTTGAAGATTTTGTGAAGATTTCATGTTGTCTCTATTCTTTTGTGACTGGCTTCTTTCACTCAGCATTATGTTTCTGGGGTTTACCCATGCTCTGTAGTTCATTCATTTTCATTGCTATGTGGTATCCCATTTGTATCAAAATACTATTAATTTTTTCCTCTACTTTTTTTTTAATTTTTTTTTTTTATATATTTTATTTATTTAGTTGACAGCACAAGCAGGGGGAGCAGCAGGCAGAGGGAGAGGGAGAAGGAGCCTCCTGTACTTTTAATAGGCATTTGAGTTGTTTCCACTTTTTGGCTTTCACAAATAATGCGCCTTTGAACCATTCTTCCACATGCCTCCCAAGCCTCCAATCTTGACCAGATTTGGGCTTCGCCATCCTGCTGGCTACTGATTTTTTTTGTTTTAAGATTTTATTTATTTACTTGAGAGAGAGAACAAGAGCAAAAGAGAGCATAGAGGGAGAGGGAGAAGCAGACTCCCTACAGAGCAGAGAGCCCAACACAGGGCTCGATTCCAGGACCCTGGGATCATGACTTGAGCCGAAGGCAGACATTTAACTGAAAGAGCCACCCAGGCGCCCCTGGCTACTGATATTTTCAAGCAGAAATTTTTTATTTCTGAACTTTTGGTCTTGTTTCTCATCTTTGGGAGGATTGGTCTGCCATTGCTGAAAATAAAAGAGCTATTTTATTGTAAGCTTTCAAAATTTTTGAATATCTAAATTACTTGATAATTACATTATTTTTAACTAATAAACTTTGTCTTTAGAGCATTTTTAGATTCATAGCAAAATTGAATGGAAATAATTAGTCCATTTTTACAATAAAAAGTATCTCCTAGACTTCCCTTCAACTAAAAAACAACTGATTTTATTTTTATGTAACCTTTTAGTTCTTGGAATGCAAACACAATTTTTTCAGAGAGTGAATGCAGTTCTGGGTATCTTGTTTATGAAATAATGTTAAGCAAAAAATATTTTCCATTTTTTTCTTTATGATGTTAATGATCACCTTGAATAACAGTTTTATTGAGTTTTCCTCTTTGTTCATAGGGGCGCCTGGGTGGCTCAGTCGTTAAGCGTCTGCCTTTGGCTCAGGTCATGATCCCAGGGTCCTGGGATCGAGTCCCACATCAGGCTCCCTGCTCGGCAGGAAGCCTGCTTCTCCCTCTCCCACTCCCCCTGCTTGTGTTCCTGCTCTCGCTATCTCTCTGTCAAATAAATAAATAAAATCTTTAAAAAAAAATACTTTGTTCATAGTTTTCACCAATGTTCTAATGAACATTATTCTCCATATGGCACTTCCCTTTTCTTTCTGTATACCTGCTACATGCTGAAACCCTAAAAGTTAAAATTCAGGGTTGGACATTATAAACAAATTCATGGTCATTGAAACTATTTCCAAATAGATTTCCAGTGGAGTTGTACCAGTTTATGTTGCTGTTGGAGATGTACATGAATTGCTGTAGTAATTTCTCAGTGATGATGCATAGTGGTGGTGTTAACTAGGCATAAAGTAGCTTACTATTTTAGTTTATTTCTTTGTTTAATGGGCTGCGTGGCAGTTTTCATACATTTGTTTGACTAATTGTATTTCTCTCCTTTGTGAATTGTTTGTACCTTTTCTCACTGAATTCTTTTGTTGTTCATGTTTTCCTGATTATGAAACACAGTACTTGTTTGTTCAGTCTGGAAAATATAAATGATTAAGTATAAACCATGGAGCTAAGAATACTGTAGAATATACTAAAGAATATAGAACACTGATTTGAATAGGAAATGCCAAGTTTAAATATTTAATAATTTATAGTAAATATTAAAGTAACCCTTTAGAAATGTAGTATACTTTAATGTTTCCCTCTCATTCTACAAATGAATGTATTATTTTTCAAGTATTTGCAAGATTAATTTCTGTGAAATACCAGTAAAATGGGATCAAATTGACAGATTCTGTGACAGTTTGTTCTCTTACCTCCTGAGTCTCATACATATCCTTTTTTCTAGGGACTTACTGATTCTGTGCTTTTCACATCACTCAGATGCAAATATTCATTCTTAAACATATATAAAAATTCTTGTGAAATCCAAAGAAAGGGGACTGTGCAGTAATTGTATTAAATCTTTTCAAACCTGCAGTCTTCTGAGTTTCCCAACATGACTTGTTCCTGGGCTCTTGGGACTGAGGTGTTAATTCCCACAACTAAGCTAAATATTGTTAATGTAGACCCAAAGGGAGGCACAAAACAAAGTTGGGCAGGCTGGCATTGTGTGTGGCTGACTCTCGGTTACTTTATGTGCAATCTTTAAATCACCTTTAGACATAACCAGCTGGTCATTTTAGCAAGAGGGATTTATTCACCAGAGAACCTCCTGTGATGGTAATCTCTTTGAGCTGATTACTAAGACCTTTCACTCACATTGGTGAATCTTAAATTGGATCGAGGCAGCAACAACTAGCCTGGCTCATTTAGGAGGAGTGCTTTCTTGAGACCCTTCAGCTTGTCAGGTCAGATCAGATGTGAAATAACATACATAGGTAGGCAGACTTGAGTTCTCACAAGCCTCCCACCCCAGGCTGTAAATATTGATGTCTTGGGTTATAGTTCATTTCTACAGAAGAGAAACTTTGTATTTAATTACCTGTGCCACTGAATGTCATTTAACCTCCAGGAAAGTTCTGTTGGTAAGGGTAAAGATATTAAAATAGAAATGACTTTGACAGTTCAAAATGAGAGCCTTTGGGGGGGAGCGCCTTTTGTGTCAGTCAGTAGAGGGCCTCCAATTCTTGATATCGGGATCATGAGTTTGAGCCACGGGTCAGGTGTATAGATTACTTTAAAAAAAAAAAAAATTGCATCATAAACAGGTTTGACTTAAGATTGAAACATAAATATGTAACAGAATGAGACCCTCTGATTTCTGCCATGTGGAATTCCTTCTCTTGCAGTGTTTTGGTATGTGATCTTCTTAATATTGGAAATATAAAATGAATTGGTCAGAGAAGAACCCCTAAAATATGGTTGGTTTTTTGTTTTGTTTTCTTGAAATTACACCTACTATTCTACCTCTGTGTCATATACTGTAATTCTGTATAATGTACTTTAGAAAATACATAAAAGTAGAAAATTTTAAAGGATAAGATTTTTAAAAATAGGAGCTGTAATACTTTCTTCCAGTACCCTAGCAGATCATCTTCCATGCACCCCACGTGGATACCATTGGCTTCGCTCATGGGTAGCCATTTTGTCAAAGAAGATTCTTCACTGAGTGACCTTTCTGGCTGTTTATTGGGTTGTGGTAGCCACACTTATCAGAACATTACAAACAGGCATATTTGAGCTGGAGGAGCTTCTCCACATCTGGATTGTGGTTTGTCTGGACGTGCATGTGAACAGAGTTGTTTAGCCTTTGAGGCCTTTCCCCAATGATACTAGATTCTTGGTGGTGGCTAACTCTCAGGTCAGCCTACAAAGAGCTGTATAACCTGCAGAAGGGGTTGCAGATGAAGCATGCTCTCCCAGACTCTGTTTCCAGACACGCTCCCCCACAGGTGAGAAGAGGAGCTGGAGGGAAGTGCTTTTCTCTCCTCTTCCTGCTGGACCTGTCCTACTATTAAAGGGCGCCTGGGTGGCTCAGTTGGTTAAGCGACTGCCTTCGGCTCAGGTCATGATCCTGGAGTCCCGGGATCGAGTCCCACATCGGGCTCCCTGCTCAGCAGGGAGTCTGCTTCTCCCTCTGACCCTCTTCCCTCTCGTGCTCTCTCTCTCCCATTCTCTCTCTCTCAAATAAATAAAATCTTTAAAAAAAATAATAATAATAAATAAATAAATAAAGGCTCCACTGTTGGCACTGGACAGGAGAGACCGGGGAAGAAGGGATTCAAGAATCATGGGGTGGAGTCATCTGAAGAACCTGCAGGAGCAAGGAAAGTGAGAAAGATGGAGAGGGGAATCCCCATGGCCCTGTGAGCCGAAAGGCTTTCCTGCTACTGAAGTAGCTAGTGCTACACACCCCCCAGGTTGTTCTTATCTGTGGAGCTCAGCATGTTGCTATATTTGGTTGTTATAGGGTGAAGAACCTTGCTGGTTAACATTTGTTAAATCTGGACAGTGATACATCAGCATGTGTTATCTTACTCTATATCCTTACCTTTAAATAAATGTATTTCATGATAGTGATAAAGGGACAAGGCTATGGGTTTGGCATGAAGAGAGTCCGTTCTTAGGCAGACATGGTCTGTTCCTTCAGCCTTGCAGTTGGGCAAACTGAACGCCACTGAAATTCTTCATGGGGACTTGTATTACCAGAGGGTTACAGAAAGTATTAATGAATTAACAGAAGGTCTTTTATATTCCATCCATTTACTTTAGCAAACTGTTTTATGTTTTTTTATTTTTATTTAAATTCAATTAATTAACATATAATATATTACTGGTTTTAGAGGTAGAGGTCAGTGATTCATCAGTCTTAATATAATACCCAGTGCTCATTATATCACATGCCCTCCTTAATGTTATCACCCAATTACCCCAACCCCCCACCCCTCTCCGCTCCAGCAACCCTGTTTGTTTCCTATGATCAAGAGTTGCTTATGGTTTGTCTCCCTCTCTTTCGTCTTTTTTGTCCCTCTCTTCCCCTATGATCCTCTGTTTTGTTTCTTAAGTTCTACCTATCAGTGAGATCATAATTGTCTTTCTCTGATTGACTTATTTCGCTGAGCATAAAACCCTCTAGTTCCATGCACATCGTTGCAAATGGCAAGATTTCTTTTTTTCTTTTGATGACTGAGTAGTATTCTGTTTTTTGTGTGTGTGTGTGTATCACATCTTCTTTATCCATTCATCTGTCGATGGACATCTGGGCTTTTCATAGTTTGGCTATTGTGGACATTGCTGCTACAAATATTGGGGTGCAGGTGCCCCTTCGGATCACTACATTTGTATCTTTGGAGTAAATACCCAGTAGTGCAATTGCTAGGTCGTAGGGTAGCTCTATTTTCAACTTTTTAAAGAACCTCTATACTGTTTTCCAGAGTGGAGCAAACTGGTTTTTTTTTTTAAATAATTTTTTATTGTTATGTTAATCACCATACATTACATCATTAGTTTTTGATATAGTGTTCCATGATTCATTGTTTGTGCATAACACCCAGTGCTCCACGCAGAACGTGCCCTCTTTAATAGCAAACTGTTTTTAATTGCTAATGTGAATACGTTTTCCCACCCCTTGTTTGTTACAGTTTTCTGACAAACCGTAGGTACTCTTCATCTAAATTCTCCAGTTCCATACTGTTCAGCCAGTAAGAATTTGAGTGACTTCATGACATTGACACCTGACAGAAGTGTGCATTCATTAGTATGTTTATTGCTTTTTAAAACTAGAAGCAAAAATAGAAATTAAGTATATCTGTCTTTTATTTGTCTATTTCATTTTTCTGATCTGCAAACAATTTAATAGGCCAGTCATAGTGTATGATGAGGCACATTATTTTTCATTGTATTTAAATCAGTGGCAGGTGTGGGATTTGGAAGCACTGTGAAAATAATATCATTTATTTTTGCAGACTTTGTAATTTTCTTCTGGAAAATCCAGACTATCCAAAGAGAGAAGACAGAATCATTATCAACCCCAGTAGCAGCCTGCTTGCCAGCCAGGATGAAACAAAGGCAAGTGTTGTGCTCTTTGTTTTGCAGTCTACCTAGAAATGCTCTGCTTTTTTCGTCTTTGTGGTAAGAAAGTGCTTTGTTGGGACACATTTTTTAAAGACTAGCCAGGAAAATAGGATTTCAGAATATACTTATCCCTTCAGTGGATTTTCCCAACCTGAGTCACTTTGGATTCTGTATTTAACTTTTGTTGTAACTCCATCATCTCTTTCCCACAAAAAGTTAAACACCTTCCATATCTTTAGTCTTACAAAGCAAGTTTTTAAAATGAAACAAGAATTAGCCAGGATTCTTTGTATCATTTTGGTGGGTTTTTGTTTTTGTTTTTCAATATTTTATTATGAAAATTTTCAAACATACAGTAAAGCCAAAAGAATTTTACAGTGATCATCTATATATCTACGAGCAGTACTATTAAAAGTTAACATTTTATTATATCCACTTTGTCACATATCCATCCCTCTGTCCATCAGCACATCTCTCTTATATTTCATTTCATTATGATGCATTTCAAAGTAAATCACAAAAACATCAACACACTGCCCTATACATACATACTTTAGCGTGCATTTCGGCACCTAGAGTTCAATATCTGTTTATAGTTTTGATGTAAGATTTATATACAATGCATACACCTGTATAACCAAATCCTGTATTAAAATAAAAAGTTTGATTTTTTTTTTAAGATTTTATTTGAGGGAGGGAGAGAGAGCAAGCACAACTGGGTGGAGAGGCAAGAGGGAGAAGCAGACTGCCGCTGAGCAGTGGACCCCCCCGCCCAAGCCCTGCTGACGCGGGGCTCGATCCTGGAACCCCGGAACCATGACCTGAGCCAAAGGCAGATGCTTAACCAACTGAGCCACCCAAGTGCCCCTATTTTTTTAAATCTTAATCATCACTTTATTTGTAATCCTACCTAGCATTTAGTGTGTCAAGTGGTGAAGGAAAGTCTAGATCAGAACTACTTCATGGCTGCTCGATCCTTCTATTCCCCACACATTCCTTTGACCATCTCTTTTACGTATTCTGTAGCAAGAGAAATGCTAGTTTTTTCTGAATGTTTTGTGGAGAGAAATTGGCTGAAGGATGGATTTCAAATCTGTAGCTTTACTTTTTACTGGTTTTGACTGGCACAACTAGTCTTCAGACTCCAGACGGCTTATTTAACCTCTCTGAACCACACTAGTTTTTTCATCTCTGTACAGGACTGGTGTAACCTCTGTAGAGGAGTCATCGTGTATACAAATGAGATGATTCTGTTGTGTAATAAGCAGTCCTTGAAGTGTTACCACCTCGTGGGAAATGCACTATCTGGCCTCCTAATGTGCCTCTCTCTCTCTCGTTTCAGTTGCCTAAAATAGACTTTTTTGACTATTCTAAATTGGTTCCTCTTGACCAGCGTTGTTTCATCCAAGCTGCTGACCTCCTGATGGCCGACTTCAAAATGCTCAGCAGTCAGGATATCAAGTGGGCCCTGCATGAACTCAAAGGACACTATGCAATCACCCGAAAGGTGCTCTTCTTGGTCTTCCTGGTGGGGTCACACCTCTTGACTACTTCTTCCCATGATAACAGAATGAAGAGTTCAGCTTGCGGAAATTGGGATGGTTTATGATGGCAAAGAGCTTAGGAGTTTGTCAGGGTGAAGATAAGTAGACAAAGGTGTTTGCTGATCAGGAGGAACCGAATGAAAAGAAATAATAGATTAGAAGCAGGGAAGTTCTGAGGGCACCTGGCTGGCTCAGTCAGTAGAGCATGTGACTCTTGAACTCAGAGTTGTGAGTTCAAGCTCCACCTTGGGCATGGAGCCTACTTAAAAATAAAAAAAAGTTTCAAAAAAGCAGGGAGGTTCTGGTTTGCTCATGGAGGGTAATGAATATTATTGTAGAGGGCAAGATGCCTGAGTATGAAAGGTGTGTTCTAGTGCCCTTCCTTGCTTTCCTGTCCAGCTAGGGGCAGGTCTGCTGGTGAATGTGGCCTCACCCTGAGTCTAGGCCCCTTCCCCCTTATATGGCCAAGAAGATCGAGACAGCTGTCAACAAACCTCTCTAATTGTAGGTTAATCTTAGGTAAAATTATTGAGGGGAACACAGAGTTAGTGCTTTCTGTTTCTGAATCTCATTCCTCATGCCAAATAGGGAATGCTGTATTGTCATTGAAAAATAAGGAGCTTCCCCCTCCCCCCAAAAAACCAGGGACCGCAACTTAAGGCCCTCCTAGCATCGATGTTGCTCCAGGGGTTCCTGACGCCTTTGCAGAGCTCCCAGCGGGCCCAGATGTAAAGGGAAGGGGCAGCAGCACGAGGCAGCTCCTGTGGCCTGGGGGCAGGTTGGTCCTGTTAGCAGTGTCCCTGCCACTGTCCTGGGACCAGTAAAAGGAATTGGCTAGCTGATGCTTCTCCTTGGTCATCCCACAGCCCACTCGTCATTTGGGTGAGAGGTTATAGGATTCTGTGGCTCACCTCTTATTTGTATCTTCTTTACCCCTTTCCTTGTTTTTCTGGTCTGTCCTATTTTTCTATGGTGTCTGCTTGTTTTGGTGAGTAGTTGGAAAATTTACAGCGTTTTGAAGTGGGGTTGGGCTGGACTGTTTGAATGAAAGTGGGGTGTTTAAGGGAACGTACTATTTGGCAGAAGCTAAAACCTGTTGCGTTCAAGTTAGAACTTCTCCCTGCTGTATGCAAATGGTGCCCAGGGGTTCTGCCCTCTGGACAGTGATGCTCTTGTGGACTGGGTATGGGAAACACACCCGGAGATGTGTTCTATTTATGGCCATAGCACATCTTCCCTGTGCCACTCCCCAGACGTGATGATAGCTTAGTCTCCTGCTATATATGTGTGTGTGTTCACTGGAGACAGTCACATTTCCCTGGATTTTTCTCTCTTTGTATTAAAAACATCAAACACACATAAAATTAGAGATTGTCCTATAACGAGCCCCTGCTTACCCATCACTCAGTTTCAGTAACTGTCAGCTCCTTCCTAGTTTTGTTTCATCCCACGTGACCCACTTCCCCGCTCCCTCCAAGAATTGTTTCATTTTCTTTAAATCCGTGACTATATCACTGTTTACCTTTAAAAGATAGATCCTTTTTTGAAAAACAATCAAAATACCATTATCACACCTTAAAAAGTAACATTATTAGATATCCACTCATTTTGTTCAAATTTCTCTGGATGTGTCAAAAACCTTTGGTCATATTGAGTTCCAAGTAAAATTCTTTCTTGCAGTTGGTTGATGGGTTACTTAAATCTCTTAATCTCTTAAGTTCTTTCTCCTCTTTCCCCCTTTACTTTTCTTGCTGCTCATTTGTTGAAAAAAATTGGTTGTTTGTCTTAAAGGTTTTGACAGTCTAGATTTTGCTGACTGTACCCTGCGGCATCATTAACCGGTTCTTTGGTATGCTGTATTTCCTATAAATTCATAGTTAGATCTAGAATCTTTTTTTTTTAAGATTTTATTTATTTGACAGAGAGAGACACAGCGAGAGGGAACACAAGCAGAGGGGAGTGGGAGAGGGAGAAGCAGGCTTCCCGCTGAGCAGGGAGCCCAATGCAGGGCTCGATCCCAGGACCCTGGGATCATGACCTGAGCTGAAGGCAGATGCCTAACAGCTGAGCCACCCAGGTGCCCTAGATCTAGAATCTTGATCAAACTCAGGTTTAATTTCTGTCCCCCTTTGAATTTTTATTCCATTTCTGCCAGATGGGTCTCTGACTTTGAGTCGTGTCTTGAACATGCAGAGCTTCAGTTCTCTCGGTGAATAGTGGATGTTTTATGTGGCTAATAGGAGAATTAAGTGGGATACAGTGTAGGGTGAGCCCATCACAGTGCTTCCTGTGTATCGGGTTTCAGTAATAAGTTTCCTCCCTCTGCACTTCCTTCTCTGTGCGAAGGAACAGTTGTCAAGCCTCTGTATGTAGGAATTTCCCAGTGGCCCATCTTACAGTGTGATCTTAAGAGTCAGTCCTTAGAGTAACGTTACAAGAGCCTTCTCTGATGCAGCCTCCTTAGGTTCACAGTGCTGAATTACACGGGAGGGGCCTGTGACCCCAGGGCCTGCTCTGGTTTGTTCCCAGCCTGTGGTATGGAGGCCCAGGGTGCAGGAAGACTCTGCCCCCAGTGTGTGTGGTTGAAGATATTTTAGCTCAACTCTTTATGGACGTATCCTGTGGGTAGGTTTCTTGGAGACCACAGTGCAGCTGCAGTAATGTTTCTTCTGGTTGTTAGCTCTGTAGGGACAAAAGTGCTCTCAAAACTGGATAACTTTTAAACTGGAGGGAACAGATCATCCTTAAAACTCATGGCAGGAGTTAATTGTTAAAATGAATGTTGATTTTTATCAAAGTAATGTATGGCCATAACTTTAAAAATCAATTAGTGCCGGAATGCTTATTTGTAATTTTTTACAAATTACAGGCTGAAGCCCCCTTCTTCACCCTCTTCCTCTGTTTTCCAGACACAACTCGATTCTTATTTGTTCTTTTTCTTTTCCTAGTACTTACCTCCACATTTATGAACACGTTTATGCTTGATTAGTTTTAGAAATCATCCATACTCACCTTTTCAGTATACAGTTCTTGTTAAATCTGTTTTTAAAGTTTTTATTATCATGACTGTGGAAAAATGTTCACTGCTGCGGCAAGTAAGGTACTATGATAATGTCTCCTTTCTTGAATTTTCTATTTTTCTTGGAGTTAAAATTGGTTGCCTCCGTCTTTTCATTTCCTTTTTTTCTTTTTGTTGCTTTGTTTTTTGATGCTGTGGCTGTCTTTTCATGGCTGACAACTCTAAAATGCTGTTTTAATCACAGTTCACCTGTTGTCAAACCTGCCCATCAATCCTCAGTTCATTTTTTTCCCTTCCTCCTCCGTACCTGTGTATAGCTGTCCTCTTGGGAGTTCCCTTTGCCTTTGGACAAAGCTTGATCCTCTGTGTTCTAGATTCTGACAACTTTCTCTGTCTTGGTTTACACACTCACACTTGGCTGATAGTTCTGCTGGGTTGAAAACAATTGCTCCGCCAAGTTTTTCCTCAATAATCCTGCCACAGATAAAACTGTCCCTTTCCTTCAGACAGCATGTTGAGTGCCTGCTACAGGCCATGCACTGAGAGAGTCACAGTGAACAGTGGAAGGCTCCTTCCCTTGTGGAGCTTAATACTAGTGGACAGTGTCCTCTATTTTAATCACCCCTTAACTTCTGTTCCCTGACATGTGCTCGTTTTGAGGGTCTCCACTCCCCAGCCTCCCCACGTTTCTCACCTGTGTACTTTAATGATCACCTCTGTCTCCTTACAGGTGACAAGGTCTGCATTTTTGGACCTGACCTCCACCAGCGTCACAGAGGAGTCTGTGGCCACTCCTCAGCTTTTATTTCATCAGATACCCATTGTAGTATTTCTAGGTCATGCCTTAAAAGAATTTTGGCCATTGTCAAGATATCCTAAGAATCTTAGCAGACTGTATCCTTGGTTCTCAGAACCAGTACCTTGAGTGGGGATTTGATTTGTGAATGTGAGCAAGCTGGAGGGAGAAATGCCAGATAAGTGTAAAAGGAAAAAATATTTACAATATCTGTTGTTCCTGTGTTTCTCCTGGTAGGCTTTTTGTTTGTTTGTTTGTTTGTTTTTTAAGATTTTATTCATATATTTGACAGAGAGAGACAGCCAGAGAAGGAACACAAGCAGGGGGAGTGGGAAAGGGAGAAGCAGGCCTCCTGCGGAGCAGGGAGCCTGATGCGGGGCTCGATCCCTGGGATCATGACCTGAGCCGAAGGCAGATGCTTAACAGCTGAGCCACTCAGGCGCCCCCTTCCTGGTAGGTTTTTTTGAGTACTTAACTTTGTGATAACTATTGGCTAGACCCTGAAGACAGTGGCATCTGTAGAACACAAATTAGCTTCCTTCTGAAGAGCTTTCAGTCTATTTGAGAAGATTAAAGGGAAAAAAAGAATAAAACGGTGTGATGAGTGTTAGAAAAGAGCGAAAAAGTACATGAGAGCACCAGGAAAGAAATGAGGGTGTTATTTGAACAGGATCTTAAGGGAAAGATGTTTTCACTGGAGAAATCTTACGTGCAAAGGCAAAAAAAACAAGTCACCATGGTGCCTTTGGGTATGTAGGTGTGAATTATAACTAGCAGTTCTTGAAAGGGAAGAACTCTGATTTATAATTGTATTTGGTCTATTTAACTAGATCTTTAGTTAATATTAAGATAAGGGATGGTGGTTGTAACTACTGAAGTAAGATTTTGCAGGCTCCTTTAATTTATCAGCAACATTTGTTTTAAGGTACACTTTTCTTGACAAGGACCAGTATGGATATTTTTCCCTTCTAACTAGAAATAGTATTTAAATGGTACCAAGGTAATGACCTCATTTCATCTCCAGACAGGAGGGTGGTGCGGTTGAAGACCCAGTGGGCTACCAGTTAACAAGCTCTGAGTTCACATTTCCATTTCATTAGTTGCTGATAAATGACATCTACCCTTTAATCATCACCTCATTTATAAAATTCAGGTTATCATAACCTGTCCTGCCTTTTTTCTTGGGTTTTTGCAAATAGCCCTAGTTCAAGGATGGAGTGTTTACCTTCTAGGTAGAACTTGGTAGAAATTAGTGGTTTTGCTGCGGAGTACAGACATACGACTTTAAGATTGGTACCTAAGGTTTGTGGGGAACACCTCGGATAGTCAGAACTCCAGAAAGAAGAAACAAAGCAAGGGAGGATGTTGATCAGGGAGATGGAGAGGTAGTAGGATGACTTCTGTTGGCCAGCTCTTGGTGGGTTTCCCTGAACCGCTCTGTGAGGACAAGGTGATGTCCTTCTCTGTAAGCCTCGCTTCCCTCTGCTATGAAAGAACCCCTTCCTCAGAGAGTTGCTGTGAGAATCCCCTGACCGGAGGGGTCACCAGACCCACACAGAGTGCTTCACTCACAGAGGTGTATAAGCACATGGTGATTCCCTTCCTGTTCCCAAACCTGAGCGCTTTGGAAAGGAGGGGATAGAAGGTAGATGAAGATGGAAAGATGATCTGTCCCTCTTCTGTAGCTAAAATAGTTGTTTTACCCTCCTTTCATTTTACCAGAGGGAGACACAGCTGTTTTCCTAAGATAAACATTCAGAATGTGACTTAACTAGCAACATTCCTGTAACACATAGATATCCCTGTAACCTTTTATTATTCACCAAGAGTATGAAATGCAAACCATGCAGGTTGCCAAGGATACACCCCGGGCTTTGGTCACCTTCTCTGTCTTCCAGAAGCCCACTGTCCAGTGGAGGGGATGACATGAAACAGAATCAAATAAGTGTATCATTACTGTTACCAGCATTTCAAAAGAAAAATGTAAGGTACTTGGAAAGAGTGTAGCGGGTGAACGGAGAGGCTCCAGGAGGGCTTCCCTGAGCAAGAGACATTTAACCACAAACCTGAGTGTTCTATAAGGAGGAGTTCAGTAAGGGGGGTTTGGGGGTGTCCTTTCCTTGGATGAGGAATACTGTAGAAGAGCCAATTTGGAGGGAAAGGATCATGAATTCAGCCTGGGAAGCATTGAGTTGCCAGCCTGTTGAGTGAGGTTTGTGAGACATCCAAGTACAAAGAATTTATCTGGGTGCTTGAATGGCCAAAAGAGGTGGGATCGTGAGGGTCATCAGCACATGCAGGGTGACCTCCCCAGCTTGGACGAGGTAGCACAGGGAGAGCTGAGGCTGCCTGGAGGCTTCCCAGCATGTAAAGACCAAGTGGAGGGAGGGTGGCGAGGAGGAGTGGGCAGAGAGGAGGCGGGACGCCAGAAGCGGGGAGCAGTCCGTGTTAGCAGTACTGCCAAGAGGCTAGGTAAGATGGGGACCAAAACATAGGGGCAGGGGTTGGCCTCCTGTTACCAAGTAGATAAGCTAGTGGAAAGATGGGCTTCAGTGCCCGATCAGAGGGAGTTGGGAAACGCACGCAAGGTGAGATGAGCAAACACGGACAGATGGCCCCTTTGACAGGTTCAGGCTGGGGTGTGGTGGCTGGTACCTGAAAGGGGAAGGAGGCCAGGGGAGGAGGGATTTTTTTTTTTTTTTTTTTTTAAAGATGGCAAAGACTTGAGCACATTGAAATGTCAATTGGAAAGAATTAAAAAAAGAAGCTGAGGGTACAGAAGAAAAGGGATTATCACTGGCAAAGACTTTTGCCCTCCAGTGTGCTGCACAGAGAGGGGACGCAGGTGAAGCTGCAAGGAATATGGGAGTGTTGGTGGAAAGTGGTCCCAGAGGTATGCCATTTAGGGTGTGCCTGTAGAGTCTCAGTCACCAGCCATCTGTTAGGTGACCCACCCTGTATGTAGCCAAGGACAGCTTGCACACTTGCTGTTTTCTTATGTTGCCCTTTGTCAGTAAGCATTCAGTTTTGCCCTTTCAGCAGTTTATGAAAGAAAGCAAAAATAATGCTGCAGCCTGTTTCTGGTAACCTATGCAGGGGAGCTGGCTGAAACTGTGAGTCAGAATGAGATTTGGGGTTGCCTGCGTTTCCTGTATTCTTGTGTCCCATTTACAGCAGTAACTTTTCTGTTTCTCAATTTTTAGGCCTTTTCTGATGCCATTAAAAAATGGCAGGAGCTATCTCCAGAAACCAGCGGAAAAAGAAAAAAGAGAAAAGAAATGAATCAGTATTCTTACATAGATTTCAAGTTTGAACAAGGTAATGGCCAACTTTGAGTTTTGCTGACTGTGTGAAGCGGCCGTGCGGAGCCCTCTCCTTCCCACGCAGCCCGTAAAGGCTGCTGTGGCATGGCCACCCTGCCAGGCCAGCCCAAGGACTGGCTGCATGGCCTGCTTTGGGGACGCATTCGTATGTTTAGGAAGTGACTGTGGTTGTCACCCTCCTTCTTTCTGCCTAGGGTACGCCGTGACCGGAACATTGTGTGCAGTGGCAAAGAACTCACATGGGGAAGTGTTTGGGGACACTCTCAAGCTGGGGGGTGGGGGGCTGGTCGTAAAGGTTTGACAAGAATTAGCTTTATCTCTAGGAAAATTACCTAGGCCAGAGATTGATTGCTCACTGCAGAGGGATCGCTTGTGCACCTGAGAGAGTGACTTCTGCACAGGAAAAGCCAGCAGTTCCTAAACAGCCACTTATGTGCTGAACTGCCAAGAGCCCTTCCAGAGACGTTACTTTGGGTCTAACCCCCACCCCCAGGATAAATGTGTTGAATTTTACATCACATTTGATCTGAGTTTCTTGTGTTTGAGAAAAGAGCCCACTGTAACTTTTCCTATAGATTATGTCATAAACAGGAATATTTTCCTTTTGTTTTATCTGTCTTTCTCTTAAATCTGTACTTAGTTATGTAACTTTATTTCAGGTCTGACTAAATGGAAAATCTAGGAGCTAACCATAGAGTTGGAAAGTTTTTGGGGGTTCTCAGCTCCTCAGTATCTAAAAGGAAACCCCTAGGTTCTGATTCCTGAGGTCCCCGAGCTAGTCTGTGGTGCAGTGTTCTCCTGTCATGACATTCTCACAGGTCTGCCGAAGAATGAGAAAGTGGGGGCAGTGTGTAGGTGGTTCTTTATTCAGCTAAATTTATCCAGTCTAGACTCAACATCCCAAGTACATAGTCGATCCATATTTGTTTCTCTCAGTGGTAGAGAAAAGAAAGTACCACTTTGCAAGATGGTCCACTTCCTTGTTGGTCAGCTCTGTCTTTTAGAAACTTCTTTTATATCAGGTCAAAATGCACCTTCCTGAAATTTCTTGCCATGGGTGTAGTTCTTGTCTCTGAAAAGACTTGGAATCTGTCTGTTGCTGCTTTGTCTTTTTGACTGCCCTTCTCTGTGTGTCTCCTCTAGCTTGTCAGAATCTGTTTGAAAGTCTGGTTGGACAGAATACTCCAGATGAGTCTGCTGTGTAGACACAACACACAGCATTAATATTTACGGCTAACAGATACCCTTAACCTTCCTTGACAGCAATTTACAAGTATAGATAGTCTGAGAGTCCTCCATCTATCTGCTCCAGGAATCTAATTTTTCACCTTTTCGGCCATTTTTCTATCCTAGCACCACTATTTGGGTTATATGTTGCTTGGCTCAAAGAGGGAGTCAGGATTCTCCCTCCACTGTCCTTTTTATGGTTTTATGAGCTGACCAGTAGACAGTCTTCTCCTGAAGAGCCTGGGTAGAATCTGGATGTAAACTGAACATCAATAAAAAATACAACATACTGGTGTGGGACGCCACGAATTCCGTTTGGAGGCATCTTTGAGCTCGCGCAGTAGACACCATGAGCAAAGCTCACCCTCCCGAGTTGAAAAAATTTATGGACAAGAAATTGTCATTGAAATTAAATGGTGGCAGACATGTCCAAGGAATATTGCGGGGGTTCGATCCATTTATGAATCTTGTGATAGATGAATGTGTGGAGACGGCAGCTAGTGGGCAACAGAACAATATTGGAATGGTGGTAATACGAGGAAATAGTATCATCATGTTAGAAGCCTTGGAGCGAGTATAAACAATGGGTGTGTTCATCAGAAGAAATCGACTGCTTCCACATGTCCCCTCCATAGTACCTGTTTTACTATAATATAAAAATCAGGTCGTGTGCATTTTCATATTGAACTTTTTTGTTAAATAAACTTTTATAATAGTAAAAAAAAAAAAAATACAACATACTATCTTGCAAAGCTGATCAAGACAAAAGAAGACACAAATTACCAGTATCAGGAGTTTTCACCCTTTATAGGGGATCTCACCATAGACCCTACAAACAGCTAATGCAGAATACTGTGAACAGCTTTACACACATAAATCTGACAACTTAAATGAAATAGACCAATTCCTCAAAAAAAAGACAAAATACCAAGACTTACCCATGTTTAAATAGATAATTTAGATAGCCCTGTAGCTCTCAAGGAAATTGAATTCATAATTTTAAGTCTTCCAGAAAAGAAATCTCCAGCCTCCTTTGGTTTCACTGAAAAATTCTTCTAAAAATGTTTAGAAAAATTAACGCTAATTCTACATAGTAGCTTCCCGAAAATAAAAGAGTAGGAAGCACTTTCCAGCTCATTTTATGAAGTCAGTATTAACCCAGGTAACAAAAGCAGACAAAGACAGCACAAAAAACTACAGACCAATATCCCTCATGAATAGGCATGCAAAATTCGTTAACAAAATACCAGCAAATAGAAGTTAGCAATATATAAAAAAATTATGTGCCATGATCAAGTCAGGTGTATTCCAGGGGTGCAAGGCTAGTTTAATATTTTGAAGAACAATCTGTATAATCCACCATATTAACAGGTTGAAGAAGGAAAATTACGTGACCATGTTAATTGATGCGGAAAAGGCATTTAACAATATTTAACACCTAGTCACGTTTAAAATTCAGAAAATTAGGAACTTGAGAGGAGCTTCTTCAACTTGATAACATCTACAAGAAAACCTAAAGCTAATACTCTATTTAACGGTGAATCCTTTCCCCCTAAATCAGGAATGGGGGAAGGAGGTCTTCTGTTTACTGCTGTTCAACATGAATTGAAAGTTATAGCCAATGAGGAGACTCCAAGGAATCTACCGAAAATACATCTTCTAGAGTCATTGAGTATCATTGCAAGGTATAAGGTCAACCCACAAAAACCGATAATATTTCTATATACTGGCAATGAGCATGTGGAAATCAAAGTATAATACTATTTGTAATTACTCCTCCTCCCATTAAATACTTGGTTTAAATCTAACAAAACATGTATTAAGACTTGTGATAAAAACTAGAAAACACTCAAGAAAGAAACCAAAGGTGGAAGTCAGTGGAGACCTGTTTTGTGATCATAGGCAGGAAGACTGAACATCGTAAGGATGTCAGTCCTCCCCGAATTGATAGACAGATCCCAGCAAGGCTTTTTGGTAGCTACAGGCAGGTTTATCCTAGAATTTCTATGGAAAGACGGTACTGGAGTAGCCGGAATAATTGCTGAAGAGAATAAGTGGGAGAAGGACCAGGAACCAGAGAGAGTAAATACTGATAAAGCCAGAAGATGTTGTGAAGAAGAGACTTCAGAGAGTGAATAGAAGATCTTGGGTGGAGTAAGCAGTTTTCTATAAAATATAAATTACCAAATCCACAGAAATAAAAAAGCTGAACAGGCCAATTACATGGTCTGATATTTTATCATTCTGTTATCTTTTACTCTAAGTGTTACTTATTGTAGATTTAGGTATACTACTCTTTCAGCTTTTGTATATGTAAGGTTTCACAGTAAAAAGTTTAAAAAACCTTCATCAGACACATGTGTACCGACCAGAATGGCCACAATTACAAGCTGACGGTACCGGTGATAAGGACGTGGTACGACACACTGCCCGTGGAGGGAGCTTGTAAATTGGCACAACTGCTTTGCAGAACTGGCACTGTTTTCTAAAGCTGCAGATATGCCTATCTGTGATCCAGCACTTCCCCTCCCTCATGTATGCTCTGCTGAATTGCAGACACATTCAGCAGTAGTAACCCACAACTATCAACCCAGCTGTCCTCAGTGGAATGAATAATAAAGTGTGGTATATTCACACAGTGCAGTACTGCCAGGATAGGAGGGACCCTCCATTTGGAGCATAACAAGGAAAAAGAAAACATTAAAGTCAAAATATGTGCATGATAAGTTAGGGAATGGTAAGGGGCTGAATTTTCCTGCACGTAGAATACGTTATCGGAGTTAGAAACGTACTGTTTGGGGGGGTATGTGGGGGACTGAGCCACAGGAGCCTGGAAGGGATGCCCTGGATTCCTCGCAACAGTTGTCTGCATGATTTTGCATTTGTCACATGTCTTCTAGGTGACATAAAAATAGAAAAGAGGATGTTCTTTCTGGAAAATAAGCGGCGACATTGTAGGTCTTACGACCGGCGTGCCCTTCTTCCAGCTGTGCAGCAAGAGCAGGAGTTCTATGAGCAGAAAATCAAAGAAATGGCAGAGGTAGGAGGACGGGTTTGGGGTGTGTTTCTGGCATTCTGGTTTGCTCTTAGGACTTAGTATAAAACTATCTTTTAAGATTTACATTTTCTTTGAAGCAGTTGGTTTGAATAAACTAATATACAGCTTTTTAAAAAACAGAACTGGGTTTTGTAAGGATATTGACTAAAGTTCACCATTTTAGAAATCAGATTTATGTTAGAGAATTTTAATTGGAGCTTAGTGAACATATGTATTTCACCTCCCTCAACCTCTAGTAACGAAGAACAACCAGAGAGAGATCCCAGTTAGCTCTTCAGTTCTTCCAAATAAACTGTCAAGTGTGCAAGACAACCTGAATGTTTATGTACTGGTGGTTTACTACATATTTTCTAGACCAGTGGCTCTCAATTTGACCCATGAATCCCTGAGTTCCCAAGACTCTTTAGGAGGTCGGTGAAGTCAGATCTCTTACCCTGATGATGAGACATTATATTTGCCTGTTTCACTTTGTTGAATCTGTTCTGACAAAACAACAGCAGTGGTACCTCAGCATCAGTCAAGTCGGTGGCACCTTTCTTCACCACCATGCACTCACATTTAAGAAAGAAGTCCATGTTACCTAAAAATGCCTTTGATGAGGGGTGCTTGGGCGGCTCAGTTGGTGAAGGTCTGACTGCTGATTTCAGCTCAGGTCATGATCTCAGGGTCTTGAGATTGAGCCCCATGTCCAGCTCTGCACTGGGCCCTCTCCCCCCACCTCCCCTGCATGCATGCGTGTGCTCACTTGCTCTCAAGAAAATAAGTAATAAAAAATAATGCCTTCAACGAAACAGTAAAATTTATTCATTTTATCAAATTTTGACCCTTGAGCATGTTACGTTTTCGCTGCTCTGTGTGACAACGTGAGAAGTCCACACAAAGTTCTCCTGCCGCATCCTGACTGTGATGATGTCCCAAGAAGCACTTGTGCCTTTGAGTTGCAAGCTGCCAAATGAGGCACTTCCCCCACCCCACAAAACACTATTTTTACTTGAAAAAATGCTGACAGAAAAATTGATTATTCAGGAGTAGGCATTGGGCAGACGTCATCTCAAAAATCAAGTGATTATTTGTTGCCAATGATAAAACTCTAGATCTCAAGCAGAAATTGGAAGTTTGATTCATCTGTCACAGTTACTTCTCATCTGTTACATGAAAGCCTGTTGGTGTAGCTTGCACTTTAATGGATCTTCCACACATGCATGATTTTAGCCTCTAAAACACGATAATTTGTGAGTTATGTAGGTCTTCAGATGTTGGCACATGGTACAGTATCAGACCGTCGCAGTCATTAATTTCTCATCAGAAAAGTGTTAAAAGTGTTGGCGGAATGCTTCTTTGTAGTCCTTATCTTCGTCCACATTGTTCCATGTCTGGCCAGTGTTATCCCCTTCAGATCATTGCCTCTGTCCTGGCCTCAGTTGTTCTTGACGACACCCCTCCTTTCTGGCACACAAGGTGACCCAGGTTCAACCTCTGCTTTTCTTGACCTGGACCTGGAGTCACCCGCCTCTCCAGTGCACCTTATTTTCTTTTAGTGGGAATTCATACTGAGGCTGCTATTTCAAATTTGGTTTACAGGGGTTTTTTACTTCTTTCATTTTATGTTTGTACTTCTTTTCTCTTATGCTGAAAATCTTGATTCTACGTAGTATTAATATAATGACTTATTTTCTTTATCCTATATTGTATACTTAATATTTCTAAAACAACAGTCCATATTATTACCAATAAGGGTGGCTCAGTCGTTGGGTGTCTGCCTTCGGCTCGGGTCATGATCCCAGGGTCCTGGGATCGAGCCCCTCATTGCAGGGAGCCTGCTTCTCCCTCTCCTACTCCCTTTGCTTGTGTTCCCTCTCTCGCTGTGTTTCTGTCTGTCAGATAGATGGAATCTTAAAAAGGCTACTGAATACAGTCTAAGATTTATTGATAATGTTCTTGTCAGATTATATCAGATTAGGAATATGAAATCAAAATATTAAAAAGTCACTTGGAATAAGTGTGTGGTTATGCCATTAACCTGATAAACAATGAAGTTTTGATATGATAAATGATAAACAAGTTTACAAATTTTAAGGTATTGGTTTTTGGGTTTTTTGTTCTAAGATTTATTTATTTGAGAGAGTGTGCCAGCAGGGGGAGGGGCCGAGGGAGAGGGAGAGAGAATCTCAAGCAGACTCCCTGCCGAGCATGACTCTGGCTGGATCCCAGGACCCTGAGATCATGACCTAAGCCGAAATCAAGAGCTGGACACCTAACCAACTGAGCCACCCAGGCGTTACTTGGTTTTTGGTTTTTAATTTTTTTTTAAGTTTATTTAAGTAATCTGTACACCCAGTGTAGGGCTCAAACTCATGACTCCAAGATCAAGAGCCACAGGCTCTTCCGACTGAGCCAGCCAGGTGCCCCTCTGTATAACCCTTGTTAATAGTCTTGACTGTCTTTCCTAATTTTATGTAAAAGTAAATATATCGGGGGGGGGTTGTTGGGGTTTTTTTGGTTTTGCCTATCTTTCTTACCTGAAAGGTAGCACATTTTTCTGCCCCTTGCTTTTACTTTTATTTTTTTTTAAGATTTTATTTACTTATTTGACAGAGCGAGAGAGCACAAGCAGGGGGAACAGTAGAGGAAGAGGGAGAAGCAGCCCCCCCGCTCCAAGCAGAGAGCCCGATGCGGGGCTCGATCCCAGGACCCTGGGATTATGACCTGAGCCGAAGGCAGACGCCCAACCATCTGAGCCACTCAGGCGCCCCTGCCCCTTGCTTTTAAACTTAGCAGTGCATCCTGATGATCACTCTTAAGCAAACCAGAGGTTTTTCTTTCCTTTTAAAACTGCCTAGTGTGCCATTGTCTGCAGTAGCAGTGTTGATTCAGTTATTCTCTTTAATGGACATCCAAGGTTGTTTCCATTGTTTTTTTGCTATTTTAGTGCCATGACATTAAATAACCTTGAGCATACTGTATTTCCTATTTCTGCCCCAGAGTATCTTAAGAATACATTCCTATATGTGCTTGGGATGAGTCAAAGTGTCTAAATACTTAGGTACCGTGTTTATATAATGCCAAGTTTCATCCATAGTGGTTGTGTTGGTTTGCATTCTCACCAGCAAAAGATGTTGTCAAACTTGGTTTTTACCCATTTGGTTTATTGTTTGCTTATGTTATTCTTTGCTATTCAGAAGTGTTGTTATGTACTTGTCTTTCCCCTTATTCCTTCTACATTTTGAGTCAGATTCAAGAAAGCGTCCCTCATATTTTCTAGTATTTGTTTGGTTTCCTTTTTTATATTTAGCTTTCTTGTGCATTTTAAATTTACTCTGAGGTACCTTTTTAAGCTACTAAACTGTGTAACTGAAGAGATGATTATTCGTAATAGAATTCTTTTATGTTTATGGAAATAAATGCTAAATGTTTGTGGCATCTTTACTAAATTTGTGTCTGTATGTATTGGTTTTGTTCTTCAGCATGAAGACTTTTTGCTTGCCCTGCAGATGAATGAAGAACAGTATCAAAAGGTAGTTTGAAATCTCACTAATTCATTTTTTCTGGGTATTTATGTGACCTATTTTTCTTTATCAATTCCTGGTGGCAAACTGGTTCCCGTATAACCTCTTGTTGATCTGCTGGGTTTATGGTTCAACCAAGTTACAGTTGGGTGCTTGAACCACGATGGGCACTCCTAATCCCAGACTGGGTCAGAGTTGAAGCAGAGATAACGACAGAGTTGTTTCTCTTAAAAAAAAAAAAAACCTTTCCTGGAATCCATTGAATAGACTTTTAGAGGAAAATTTAGAATTCTGGTGTCAAAACATTGGAAGAGAGATATGTCTAACCGCAGGACCAGGTTACTTTTGTCCACTGTCTGCTCTCCTCACCTCGTGGCCTTTTCTGGCATAGTGGGAATGGACTGGGGCTGGGTCTGCCTCTGCCAATGAGAATAGCAGGTTTCATGGTGCTCCAGTACTGGAGGTTGTGCTCTAGCTAGCTTCATGGCCCCGTAAGATAAAGTGTGGGCTAAGACGCAGCCCCCTCACATTCCTGCCTTCTAACGAGAAGAGCAAAATCCAACTTTGGAAGCTTTTTGGAATAACATCTCTCATGCCACTTGTCCCTGACTCTCATAGTCATATTAGCATCTGAGTATAGATGTTATGGTTCTGTTGACACCATGGAACTCATGATACGATCACTTTATACAAAGGATGACTCCGAAGAATAAAAACCCATGAAAATTCTATCTTTAGTTATATATTGGCATTTATACTAGCACCTCAAGCTAGATATACAGAGTAGAAAACAGCTCATCGATGTCTTATGGCTTCTAGAGGTGGCTTTTGACCTCAGCGTGTGTTTAGGAATGGGGGAATATGAAACCTAGCTGCCCCTCTGCTTCAGTGTACAGCATCTCATGTGTCTCTGACGGCCTGCAGGACGGCCAGCTGATTGAGTGCCGCTGCTGCTATGGGGAGTTTCCATTCGAGGAGCTTACTCAGTGTGCGGATGCTCACTTGTTCTGCAAAGAATGTCTCATCAGATATGCCCAAGAGGCGGTGTTTGGATCTGGAAAGGTGAGAATCATGTAATATTCCCACACGCAGGAAATGTTCACAGAGTATGAGACCCCATTTATAGACAAGTGTAAATGCCTCGTCGAATTGCTCTTTCTGGGGTGAACTGTAGATTTTAAGACATGCTGGTATGTGTGTGATTCCTAGACAGCCCCTGGCTGGTGTGATTGTGTTGGTTGTAAGCAGAGTAGATTTCTTCTTGGGGAATGGCGCTGCCTATTCCAGGAGCACCCACTTCTTTACTCATCGATCCTTTTTGTAATAAAAAATGAAAAGATCCTTGCAGCTCTTTGAATGAGAGTGCATTGTTGGGGTTTTTTTAAACAAGATTTTTAAAGGATTTTATAGTTGTATTAAAATGAACTAACTATTGGGACACCTGGCTGGTTCAGTCAGAAGAGCATGTGACTCTTGATTTGGAGGTCATGAGTTTGAGCCCCATGTTGGGTGTAGAAGTTACTTAAAAATAAATAAGTAAACTTTAAAAAAAGATAAAAAAAGAACTAGAAGCCTTTAAAAAAAATGAATAACTTTCCACGATCATATTTCTCTGTCCAAAGTTAGTGTCTGTTGATACCAGCATAACATAATATGAAAAGGAGTTCTGTTTTGTCTTAAGAAATGATTAAAAACCAGAATTACGAACCATTAGAGACGATGGACTCTGAAAAACAAACTGAGGGTTCTAGAGGGGAGGGGGTAGGGGGGATGGATTAGCCGGGTGATGGGTATTAAAGAGGGCACATTCTGCGTGGAGCACTGGGTGTTATGCACAAACAATGAATCATGGAACACTGCATCAAAAACTAATGATGTAATGTATGGTGGTTAACATAACAAATTATCAAAAAAAAAAAAAACAGAATTACTTTTTTTTTTTTTTTTTTTTTCTTTTATTTATTTGACAGAGAGAGACACAGCCAGAGAGGGAACACAAGCAGGGGGAGTGGGAGAGGGAGAAGCAGACTCTGGCCGAGCAGGGAGCCCAGTGCGGGGCTCGATCCCAGGACCCTGGGATCATGACCTGAGCCGAAGGCAGAGGCTTAACGACTGAGTCACCCAGGCGCCCCCAGAATTACTTTTCATAAATGCCTGACCAATAATCAAATCATTCAACATCAGTTAGTCTAAAGTCAGTTGCAGTTTAATCAAGAACAGAGTAACCATTATGAGCAGAATGGTGTGGCAGGCAGAATAATGTTCCCCCAGAGATCTCCCCATCCTCATCCCAGAACCTGTGGATATGTTACCTTACATGACAGGGGAATTAAGGTTGCTAGTTGGGTGGCCTTGAAATGGGAAGAGTAGCCTGGATTATCCAGATGGGCCCAGTGTAATCACAAGGGTCCTTAAAAATGGACGAGAGAGGCAGAAGAGGAAGTTGGACTGATGTGGCATGAGAAGGACTCAGTGTGCTGCTGATGCCTTTGAAGATGATGGCCAGGGCCCGCTGGAGCAGCTGTCCCGGAGGCTGTCTTCCTTTCTCCTAGAAGAGTTTTAGTCCCTTGACTCCATCTGAAAGGGGTAGGATCCAGACAGAGGCTTTCCAAACAACCCCCTTGGTTTTAGTCTGTATTCCTGTCAGTCTCCTCTTCTACGACTCACCTCCGCCTTCCCCAAGGTCTAGACCTCCAACCTTTTCAGGGTCTCTGGAGGAAATCAACTCACTTCTCACAAATATCTTTTCAGACACTGCACCATGACCTTCCTTGTTGCTCTCCACCTTACTGTGGTTTGGACTGATAGAGGCCCTCTGATGCTATATCACAGATGGACTTTGTGGGGTTTTATCATGCTTTCCTTGTCTTGAGTGTGGTCACTTTCTTAACCACTGTTTATCCGCTTCCCATTGAGGGAGGCATTGAACCACTGAAGCTATTGTTTTTCTAAAAATTTGGTTGAATTTTCTTTCTTTCTTTAATTTAATTTTTTTTGCCTCCTGACATTTTAATTCCAGTCAGAACTCAGCTGCATGGAAGGCAGTTGCACATGTTCATTCCCAACCAGTGAGCTGGAGAAGGTGCTTCCCCAGACCATCCTGTATAAATACTACGAGCGGAAAGCTGAAGAGGAAGTTGCTGCAGCTTACGCCGATGAGCTCGTCAGGTGAGTTCTCAGAGTTGGAGAGTGTCATTGGTCACCTCATTCCCCATTATGAATATTGCCTGAACACTTTCATCAGATGATGAAAATCTGTAACAAAGCTGGATCTTACAGGTCTTCTGGCATTTTCTTCTGAGCAATAGGGAATAATTTTATTAATAGGAAAATCCACATTTCACATTTTTACTTGCATTCCTTGGTACCTCTTAATCACTTGGCTTATGGGTACAATCGTTACACACTGGGTTGGAGGATGGAGGAAAGGTGACACATGCAAGGAGTTCTCACAAAGGTAGGGGTGTATATTTATCGAGTGGTTTGCACTGAGGCAGGACCCAAAATGGCATCTGCATTTCCTGGTAAGAGCCAGCACAAAGGAGAGCCTCAGTCCGTGTTTTAATTAAAAAGGAGATATGGCTGTCCAGCTTAAAATTCCATATTAGTATGAACATGGAACCAATTTAATATTCTGAGTAATATTCCTTCTGCTGTTTTGATTGTAGGTGCCCCTCCTGCAGCTTTCCTGCTCTGTTGGACAGTGATGTGAAGAGGTTCAGTTGTCCCAATCCTCGCTGCCGAAAGGTAGGGAAGCAAATTTTTTTCTAGATTTATTTGAATTTTGGTGTTACAGACTACACTAATGGCCAGGTATCTATTGGTTATCTGCGTGCTGACCTGTGAGAAGGGTTTGTGTGCTCTCCTTTTCATGAAAACAAATGAAAATCAGTACTTGGTGAATCGTGGTTGATACGGTTGCAGAGATGGGGGTCACATGTGGAATTCCAGTCAGAAGCTCTAGATTCCTATTGTAGGCCTTCTTCTTATGAGGGCAGATGTCGTAATGTAAAATATGAAGGGTTAAAGGCCTGGGCATCATGTTGGCATCTCTGTCGCATCTGGTAGAATATTCACTAACTGTTCTTATAAGAACTGATTGTGTTGGGTGCCAAAGCCATCAAGTCATCTTGCAGCTGAAAATCTTTTTTTTTAACTAGACTCCCCTGTGAGCTAAGAATGTCTTAAAATGTGTCAGCTATTTACAAGCCACTTAGAGTTTTTAAGTGTCTAGCATCAACCTAGACAAGTATGTTTTAAGCCATTTTTCTAAAATAGCATGACCAGGGCGCCTGGGCGGCTCAGTTGGTTAAATGTCTGCCTTCGGCTCAGGTCATAATCTCAGGGTTTAAAAAGAAATTAAAAATTAAAAAAAGAAAATAGCATGACCAGAGCTCAACATTATAATATTTTTGCCTTACTGCAGGAGTGAAGAAATGAAAGTAGTCATTAGGAAAGGAGGAAGAAACTAAACTAATGGACTAAATTTTATTCCTTTTGTTTCCAGCATTAACATTTCTTTGTAAAATCTGGGTGTATTCTTAGAATTTATGTGTCCATTTAATAATTTGTCCCCACCCTCAGGCTTTTGCTATAACAATTTTCCCAACAGTCTCTGGCTTTTGGAACTAAGTGGAGCACCTGACTGCCCTGTGTGCTCCTCATGCACCCAGCACTGGAATGCCTGGGGAGGCAGTAGCCAAGGGAAGGAAAGTTTGGGTGGGGGGAAAGTGAAGATGTTGGAGTGTTTTTAGGTCTGAAGATGAATAGCATCCTGAAGGCTCACCAGCTGGGTAGGGCCAGGCTATGCAGATCTTGAGCACTAGTCTAAGGTGGCAGAGGGCGAACAGCAAGGGGACTGAGATAACAGATCTCTTCAGCTGTTGTAGTCCAGGTCAGAGATGCACATCACTGCCACCTCCTGTGGAGTCTCCGTGAATTGCTAAGATGGAGCTGGGAACTACATTTCCTCCAAGAATTCCAAATTAGACTCTACTGATAAGTGTTCATAGACAATTTGGAAGGCCAAAGAGAAGGTGAGGCCATTATTCTCCAAGACAGTTACAGGCAGTCCTAAGGACACACATGAGTCTGAAACAGTGTCCTGTGAGTGTCTTCAGAACATCAACCTGGGATGTCAGTGAAAGGGTCCCAGTGGCTTTTAAGATCTGAAGCAGAAACATCAAATATTCGGCTTTCTCTCTGTGGAAGGGATATACATGCCTTGTTGAACTTGGAGGTGGCCTTGTTGAACTTGGAGGTGGCCGTGTAGCTTCTTTTGGTCAATGAAATGTCCATGTGGATGAGGTCAGTCACTTGCAGAAAAAGTGATAAAAACATGATTTGGGGTGATGTCAACAAGTAGGCAGCCCCAGACCCTCCTTCCCCAGCCCCCTACGGAAACACTGATCAACATTACACAGACCAGTTCCCTTTGTGAGAAATTTAGAAACCAGGTAGGAGGCTCCTGCATTCCAGACAGTGCAAAGCCGGCTGCATTGAAGCCTGTAGGAAAATTCATGGAACTCACTTGCCAGAGACACTCCCATCTGCACATGTAGGAAACATCTAAATACTCGCTTTCCCCCGCACCCCCGCCCCCCGGGGGGAGGGAAAGGGAAGACTCGAACATAATCTAGCATTCAGTCTTCTTGGGCAGCTACCCAAGGGGCTGGCTTTTGTCTTTCCTGACTCTAAGCAGCACCAGGTTGGAGATTGCTGGGAACAAAGGCAACGTTTTATATATTTACTTATTTTAAGGAAGCTCTGTGCCCAACATGGGGCTTGAATTCATGACCCAGAGATCCAAGAGTCACATGTTCTACCAACTGAGCTGCCAGGTGGCCCCAAAGGCAACATTTTAAGCTAACATACACTTGCTCACCATTGCCGTTGCCCTCAGTTTAGTGTGCAAAGAACTGGAGAAAACCGCCAACTCCCAGCTTCTCCCTGGGGAGGGAAAGAGTTAGAACATGTGTCCAGTGTTCTGGCCTTTGGGAGTACTGCCTAAAGGGCTGGTTATTATCTCACCTGACTCAGTGCACTGACAGGATCCTGCGTACTCCAGATGCCTGGATGCCTCTGAGAACACTAGAGCTGCTGGTAGGCTTGCTGCTGCCCCAAAGAACCCACAGTTCAGGTAGCTTTTCCCTTGGAGAAAGGAAGACTGGAACCTGCACCCTATGCTCCAGCTTCTTGGGGGAGGAGGTTTTGAAGGGACTGGTTTCTTGCCCACCTCAGCACTGGTGAGAACCACTGTAGTCTGGATGCCTGGGGGCTGCTGAGAACAAAAAGGAGTTGGACTGCTCCAGAGAACCTGCAGTACTATACACAGACACCAGAGGGAGAAAGAGATTATAAGCTCCTAAAAAAAGAAACTTAGCGAGACTTCCGTAATTGAGAATTTGCACATGTTAAGTCCAGAGAAGACACCTCCAAAGTAAAGGCTCCCAGAATCTATAGCTAGGCTGGCTGGTGAAGGTCTTTCCCCGTACAAAGCCAGTGTGTAAAGACTGGGAGAGGTGACTGTTTCTTCAAATATGTGGATCCTGCCACAAAGCAACAAGGTACAGGAAGGAATATAGTCCAACCAAAGGAACAAAGTAGATCTCCAGAAAGGACACTAAAGAAAAGGAGATATGTATGTGAATTACCTGACAATTCAAAATAATCATCATAAAGATGTTCAGCAAGCTTGGGAAAATGATATGTGAACAAAATGAGAATATCAACAAAGAGAAAATATTGAGAAGAGTCAAACAAAATTGAAGCTGAAGAATACAATAACTGATGGAAAATTTCACTAGAGGGATTCATCGTCAGGTTTGACCAAGCAGAAGAAAGAACCAGTGAACTCAAAGACAGGTCATTTGAAATTATCTAGTCAAAAGAACAGAAGGGAAAAAAAAGAATGAAGAATAAGGAAAGCTTGAGGTACCAATGGGAGGGACACCATCAAGTGAACCAGTGTATGTGCTGTAAGAGTTTCAGCAGGAGAAGAGAGAAAGAGACAAAGCTTATTTGAAGTGTTACCTTTTCATTGGCCATTATTGGCCAAAAACTTCTAAAATCTGGGAAAGGAAAATGGATATCCAGATTGAAGAAGCCAAATAGGCCCCAATTAAAATGAACCAACACAGTATAGGGGAGAGTTAATATTGTTAAAATGTCATACCTACACAATGCCACTTGTAGATTTAATCACAATTCCTATGAAAATACCAACTGCTTTTTTTGAAGAAACAGAAAAAACAATCCTAAAATTCATATAGAACTGTGAAGAATCCCAAATAGCCAAAACAATCTTGAGAAAGAAGAACAAAGCTGGAGGCCTCATACTTCCTGGCTTCCAAGCATATTACAGAGTTACAATAATCAAAACAGTATGGTACTGGCATAAAAACAGACCTACAGACCAGTGGAACCAAACAGAGAGCCCAGAAGGAAGCCCACACCTCTGCAGTCAGGGGCACCAAGATTACACCTTGGGGAAAGGTCGTTCTGCTTGACAAATGGTACCAGACAAACATGACTGCCTGCAGAAGAATGAAATTGGATGTTATCATACACCACAAAGATCAACTCAAAATGGATTAAAAACTGAAACATAACGATCTAAAATTCCTAGAAGAAAACATAGGAAGCTTCCTAACATTGGTCTTTGTAGTGATTTCATGATTGTAACACTAATAGCACGGACAACAAAAACAAAAATAGACGAATGGGATTGCATCAGACTGAAAATCCTTTGCACGGCAAAGGAAACCATCAGCAGTAAAAAAGTAGCCTATGGCATGGGAGAAAGTAATTGTAAATTATTTCCCTGGTAAAGTGGTAATATCGGTAATACACAGGAAGTCCTATAACTCAGTAACAGCCAATCAGAAATAAGCCAATTAAAAAATGGGCAAAGAACTCAAACAGACATTTCTTCAAAGAAAACCTACAGTTGGCCAACAATATATGAAAAGGTGCTCAGCATCACTCATCATCAGGGAAATGCAAATCAAAACCACGGTGAGGTCATTTCACATCTAGGATGCTCACTAACACAAAAAAAGGAAAAAAGAAAATAATAAGTGTTGATAAGGATATGAAGAAATTGAAACCGTTGTTCATTGTTGATGGGAATGTAAAACAGTACATCCACTATGGAAACTAGTATGGAATGTCCTCAAAAAATAGGGCGCCTGGGTGGCTCAGTTGGTTAAGCGTCTGCCTTCGGCTCAGGTCATGGTCCCAGGGTTCTGGGATTGAGCCCCGCATCAGGCTCCCTGCTCAGTGGGAAGCCTGCTTCTCCCTTTCCCTCTGCCTGCTGCTCCCCCTGCTTTCTCTCTCTCTGTCAAGTAAAATCCTTGAAAAAAAAATTTACTTTTTTTAAAGATTTATTTATTTGAGAGAGAGCACATGAGAGGGGGGAGGGTCAGAGGGAGAAGCAGACTCCCCACTGAACAGGGAGCCTGATGCGGGACTCGATCCCGGGACTTCAGGATCATGACCTGAGCTGAAGGCAGTCGCTCAACCAACTGAGCCTTTTTTTTTTTAAATAGGGGTGCCTGTCTGGCTCAGTTGGTGGAGCGTGTGACTCTCAATCTCAGGGTTGTAAGTCCCAACCCCACATTAGGTGTGGAGATCACTTAAAAATAAAATCTTGGGGCGCCTGGCTGGCTTAGTTGGTTAAGCATCCGACTCTTGATCTCAGCTCAGGTCTTGATCTCAGGGTTGTGAGTTCAAGCCCCTCATTGGGC